GGAAAGTTTGTAATATTGTTTGATAGTACTTATCTACTAGCTATGTGATAGCGGAATGCAATAGAGAGGTTCTGCATAATAATAATAAAATCTCCTGGGATCATATTCGCCTTGTCCTCTATTTTTCTCCGGTCGCTACGAATCTGGACGAGTCACTGACTAGCCGTCACCGACCACCAATTGGTCACGTGAAATGACTAAGCCTATGAATTCCGCGGGTCTCAGCCAATAAGAAAGCAGGGTTCACAGGGCTCTGGCGGGCGCTGACTGGTCGATTCGCAGTTGCTCGTCCATTCTTCTGCTGGAACTGCAAATTGAAGGGAATCGCCCTCACATTATTATTGATCCCTCTCTTTCTCTCTCCTTCTCGCTTCTTGCTACTTCCTCCCCCCAGTACTTCCTTTTCTCCCCTCTCCTCAATCCGCATAGCTTCGACATCCTTGTCTTTTCATCCTACACCCCGTCCGTGTCTGTTTATCCGACCCTGGGGCTTTCCTTTTTCCTCTTGTTTTGCTTGGTCCTGGCGTGCACCACCGCCGTCTTTTCGCCCTCCTCTACCCCCCCGGAAGACCTGGTGCATGCCTCGTCATAATCCACAAAAACAACCTCTGCCCTCCATCCTCCAGAGATAATCCCCCATCTCCTGTCCACACTACCACTCTTTTGTTGTGGACGGTCTTTTAATAGCCTGGTTCTGTCTGCTTTGTCTTCTCTTTGAGTCAGAACAGCTCCTTCACCTTCCCTTTTTTATTGTCCTTTTCGCTTGTGATCGCTTGCTTCGGTTTTCCGCATACGGCAACATGAACGTCACTCAGGTGTTGGAGAGTACCCTCTCGCCAGGTAATTTTTGTTCCCGTCCCTTCTTGTATTCAGATTATGTTATTAGTTTTCAAGGCATCAGAATGACTAACAGGCTATTTTGCTGGCAACTATAGATGCGGCGACTCGTTCCCATGCCGAACAGCAGTTGGCCCACGCGGCGGAGGTTGACTTCGTAAGTCCTAGACTTATCCCGTTGCTAGTAATTGGTCTTGTATCAAGCATACTAATCATAACTCTTTTTCGCCGGACTTTAGGCCCAGTACCTTGTCACACTCGGTCAGGAACTCGCAAACGAAGATTCCGCGTCCCACATCCGTACCGCTGCCGGTATCGCTTTGAAGAACGCTTTCACTTACAGAGACCTCGCAAAGCTCCAGGAGGTCCAAACAAAATGGCTACAGCAAATTACCCCAGAAATCAAGGCGCAGGTCAAGGAGCTTGGCCTCAAGACGCTTAACTCGAAGGACGGCCGCGCCGGCCAGTCTGCCGCCCAATTCATCGTCTCCATCGCTGCTATCGAACTTCCCCGTAACGAGTGGCCGGAGCTGATGAACATCCTCGTCCAGAATGTCGCGAGTGGTTCCGATCAATTGAAGCAGGCCTCCCTGGTCACCATCGGCTTCATTTGCGAGTCCCAGGATGCTGAGCTTCGCGAGAGCTTGGCTGCCCACTCCAATGCTATCCTGACCGCCGTCGTTCAGGGTGCTCGGCGCGAGGAGCAGAACATGGACATCCGATTCGCCGCCATCAAGGCTCTCAGTGATTCCGTTGACTTCGTGCGGTCGAACATGGAGAACGAGGGTGAGCGGAACTACATCATGCAGGTTGTGTGCGAAGCGACACAGGCCGATGATCTGCGTGTGCAGGCGGGCGCATTCGGTTGCCTGAACCGTATCATGGGTGCCTACTACGATAAGATGCGCTTCTACATGGAGAAGGCTCTGTTTGGCCTGTCGATCATGGGAATGAAGAGCGAGGAGGAGGATGTGGCTAAGTTGGCCATTGAATTCTGGTGTACCGTTTGTGAGGAGGAATACGCTATTGAGGATGACAACGCGGCGGTAAGTCTTGTCCATCATCTGAGAACAGCTATGCTATGGATATCGTAGCTAATTGTGAGTCAAATAGGCACAAGCAGAGGGTCTCCCCGAGGTCCGGCCCTTCTTTGGCTTTGCCCGCGTCGCCTGCCGGGAAGTCGTTCCCGTCCTCCTGCAGGCCATGTGCAGACAGGATGAGGATGCCACGGACGATGAGTACAACGTCTCTCGCGCTGCTTACCAGGCCCTGCAGCTCTACGCTCAATGCGTGCAGGGTGATGTGATCCAGCCTGTCTTGACCTTTGTCGAGGAGAACATCCGTAACGAAGATTGGCGCCACAGGGATGCTGCAGTTGCGGCATTCGGCGCCATCATGGATGGTCCCGATCCCAAGGTCCTGGAGCCTCTTATCAAGCAGGCTCTTCCCGTCCTCGTCGGCATGATGCAGGACAGCTCCATTCAGGTCCGTGATTCGGTCGCCTACGCTCTTGGCCGTGTCTGTGACTTCTGCTCTGAAACCCTTGACCCTGACGTGCACCTCCAACCCCTCATCACTTGCCTGTTCAACGGCTTGGCAAGCTCTCCCAAGATCGCCAGCTCCTGCTGCTGGGCCCTGATGAACGTTGCCGATCGTTTTGCCGGCGACTATGGCGCCCAGACCAACCCTCTGTCCAAGCACTTCGAGGACAGTGTCAAGTCGCTCCTTGCTCTTACTGAGAGGTACGCCAGTAATCGAAGCTTCATTTTAACTGTCTAAGCCCGGCGCTAACTTAATTGCAGACAAGACGCAGACAACCAGCTCCGTACTGCTGGATACGAAGTGCTGAACTCCTTTGTGACCAACGCTGCCAATGACAGCCTTCCCCTTGTGGGCAACCTCTCCGACGTCATGCTTCAGCGCCTGGAGCACACCATCCCCATGCAACAACAAGTGGTTAGCGTTGAGGACCGCATCACCTTGGAAGAGATGCAGACTAGCATTACTAGCGTTGTACTTGTATGTTTATCCCATTTCTGGCATTCATCCGGCTGTGACTGACTTTCTAGGCTGTCGTTCAACGTCTCGAGACTGAGATCAAGCCCCAAGCCGACCGCATCATGCAGGTCATGCTTCAGATCTTGGCCACTGTTCCTCCCAAGTCCAGTGTACCTGATGTCGTATTCGCCACGATCGGTGCTATTGCGGGTGCCTTGGAGGATGACTTCATCAAGTACATGGACAACTTTGCCCCCTTCCTGTACAAGGCCCTGGAGAACCAGGAAGAGCCTGGTCTTTGCTCTATGGCCATCGGCCTGGTCAGCGACATCTCGCGTGCGTTGAACGAGCGGGTGCAGCCCTACTGCGACGGTTTCATGAACGCTCTTCTCACGATCCTGAGGGTAAGGAACTAATCCTCGCTACATTAAGACAAACAACTGCTAACACTGGCCTTAGTCCTCGACCAACGTGCTGAAGCCTGCAATCCTTGAGACATTCGGTGATATTGCTCAGGCTATTGGCACCCAGTTCGACACCTACCTCAACGTTGTTGCTCAGGTTCTTCACCAGGCCTCTGTTGTGACGGCCAGCAACGACGTGACCCCCGAGATGCAAGAGTACATTGTCTCGCTGCGTGAGGGTATCATGGATGCTTGGGGTGGTATCCTCCTGTCCTACAAGGGCAAGCCTCAGGGTACGTTATCTTCAGAAATGTAGCAACGAACACTTCACTAACGTGATATAGTCTCCCAACTGCATCCTTTCGTGGATCACATCTTCCAGTTGCTCCACACCATTTCCCAGGATTTCAACCGCAGTGAGGGTCTGATGAGGGCAACCATGGGTGTCATTGGGTATGCTTCCTTCATTCTAACAATTCTGGCCTAGTGATTAACATGCTTTAGTGATCTGGCTGATGCCTTCCCCAACGGCGAGTTTGCTGCCTACTTCCGTAACGACTGGGTCACCAGTCTGGTCCGTGAGACGAGGACCAACAGGGAGTTTGGATCTCGTACCATTGACACCGCCCGGTGGACTCGTGAGCAGGTCAAGCGTCAAATCACGATGTCCACTGCCGCAGCTATGGCGTAAGCCGCTGTTTTGTGCTGCTATTCAAACCCAGGTGCTCGCTTCCGAGACCGCACCCCTAGGAGGACGACCTCATCCGTCGGTGCTCTCAGGGTAGCAACGACATTGTCTCTGCTCCCCCGAGTACCCGTCCCCACACGGGAACCCAAGTCGCATTGTGCTACTGATTGCTCAGATCCTAGGGTTCACTAGGCCGTGCCCAGTGAATCAGCGCATAAGGGCTAGTGTTTCCACAGACCCCGTATATCACCATCCCTGCCCAACGACCCTCTCCCTATCACCGATGTATGACACATTTCGAGCACCCCCTACCCCTTTCCCCGCACCTTCCCCTTCTCCCCCTCCCCAACACCTCGGCCCTCTGTCCGGCACGAACCCCCTGCTTTCGGACCCCTGTTGTCATGACATCTCGCAATGCATGTTTGCACTTTTCCTTCCGGCCTTTTTGTTTCGATCTTCTCCTCTACTATTACTATCCACTTTGCCACATCTTTGCACCCCCCACATCAGTTTTAATTAGACAGAGGTTCTTTAGCATTATCATGTATGCCCGAGAAGTCATGTAACCAACCCCCTTTGAGAAACACTGTCACGAATCCCTTGACCCTGCTCCACGTATCACCTCATCCTACCAAAAGACCTGTATAGAGAATGGTAAAAAGCAAGAAACAGCATGAGAGCAAATAGTAATGCGTAACCGAGTGATTGTCGGGATAGACTTGTCTTCATACCCGAGTCCATTACCATGGTGATCAAAGCCCAAGGTATGGGATGTGGCATTATATTGTTATGCACGAGTCAAATATGCGGCCTGCACAGTAAACAAGATGAAGTTCAAAATATTTAAGAGCCCTATCGAAATTGGTTTCTACTGAAATTTGTCATAAGCGTCGAACTTGATGTTCTCAGTACGAAGTGAAGGCCGAGAAACGTGTTTCTGCCTGAGGCATGGATTGAAGCGGTGAGAAACACGTGACTGATAAGGGCACGGATCGGCAGCCCTAGTGGCCGCACAGCGAAAACTTCTCACCTCCAAAAGACCCGCGAGATTCTTCCTCCTACACTCGATCTTACCGACGTCGTCGACACATCCCTCGAGGTATGTATCATTCGTTATTTCGCCCTATTCTACAGCCTCCCAGCTAGTCTGAGGGAGCAATCACCATGGAAATCCGCATATTCGGCCTTGCTGGTGTAGTAACCGACAGCATACGATGATCGGAGGACCGGGTGATACGCTTTCCTCACTACGGCACGGGCTGAAGAACCCTTGTTTATGCAAAAGGGGCACTCTTTGCGCTCGAGGACTACTGGTGGCTGACTATTATGGACCCAATTCCTCACCGATGGTGTGAGGACTGGGCATCGTAAATATTTAGATACCTCATATCCTTCGATTCCTCGATTTGAGAATCTCGATTCTACACCGTCAAAATGGTCAAGACTTCCGTCCTCAACGATGCGCTTAACGCCATCAACAACGCCGAGAAGAGCGGTCGCCGTCAGGTCCTGATCCGCCCTTCCTCCAAGGTCATCATCAAGTTCCTTTCCGTCATGCAGAAGCACGGTATGTTCATGTCTACGCATTACCAAATGCCACAAGAAAAGAAGAGTTCCGGGCACTTGCAAGGTCGATCCGTCAAGGTGTTGAATGAAGAAAAATTCGGGTTGATAACTAGGCGACGGTTATAGACCAACCACGGCTTTCGCCCTTTAAGTGCCCGAGATATTGACAAGTGTTGTTTACAACATGGCGGCGATCTTACAAGTTTCCGGAACTCTTTTATTTCTTCTGTGTTTGGTTAACTTTTAAATCACCGCAACAAATTGCTGATTATCTTTCCTTCTTCAGGCTACATTGGCGAGTTCGAGGAGGTTGACGACCACCGCTCCGGCAAGATCGTCATCCAGCTCAACGGCCGTCTGAACAAGTGCGGTGTCATCAACCCCCGTTACCCCGTTCAGCTCCGTGACCTCGAGAAGTGGGCCACTCAGCTTCTCCCCTCCCGTCAGTTCGGTTACGTCGTCCTGACCACCTCCGCTGGTATCATGGACCACGAGGAGGCTCGCCGCAAGCACGTTGCCGGCAAGCTCCTCGGTTTCTTCTACTAAAAAGTTTACCCTGGAAGATTTTTTTTGATGGCGAGGATCTAGTTTGTGGTGCGAGGGATGAACTCTCGTGGCTTGGCGGAGTTGGATCGATACCCGGCAGAGATGTCTAGATAGTTATTGATCGAGTGATCTCGCGAATGAACTGATCCCAGTCATCATTATTGTCCCACAACATATGCAAGTAGCGTAATCATTAGCTGCAGAGTAGATCTAAGACTTGGCCGGGCCGAGGTCTGACCGCCGCCCCAAGTTTCCCCGCAACATCTCCCTTATCCATTTATCAACACCATCTTTAACCAGCCCAACTCACAACTACATTCACTCACTACCTCCCTATCTTCTCCAATTTCTATACTTGAGTCCTGTAAACATGCCTCTAGACACAATATACCTCACCCGCCATGGCGTAAGTCCACCACCCATCCCCATACTCCTCCCCTCTCCCCCTCCATATCCTATCCCCAAGACTAACAATATATCTCCAGCACCGCCTCAACTGGACAATCGACTACAAAACCGGCACCTACCACGCCCAATTCCCTACTCCAACCGGTAATCCAGCAGATCCAACCCTAACCTCTCACGGCGTGCGCCAATCCCACGAACTGGCCGCCCATTTCACCAGCGACAACATATCCCCCAAGCCATTCCGCATCTACAGCAGTCCATTCTACCGATGTCTGCAGACAATCCAGCCCACAGTCGAAGCATTGAAGCAGCAGCAGGCAAACACCACCCCTGGTACCAACAACGAACCCCCCGCAATCGACACTCACGCCGAACTAACCGTCCGCACTGAACCCGGCCTGGGGTACGTTGCCCCCTCCACACCAACTAACCTATACAGAAACCGATACTAACCATATAATAAAAATACATAGAGAATGGTTCGGTCCAACAACCTTCTTCCACCACCCAACCCCCGCACCGGCCTCAATCCTATCCACTCACTTCCCTACCATCCTCCCATCCCAACATGAACACACCTACAAACCAATCCTCCACCCCTCCACCCGCGGCGAAACCATCGCCCAACTCCACGACCGCGTCGCAACTACCCTCTCAGCCCTGATCACCTCCGTCGACGAGGAAATCTCCACTATCGAGAAATCACTCCCTCCTGCCCAACGGACCAGTAAAGCTATCCTGATCTGCGGGCATGCTGCCCCGCTGATTGCTATGGGACGGGCCTTGACGGGGGATATGCCGGGGGATTCTTCGGTTGAGGACTTTAAGGTGTATACGGCGGGGGTGAGTACCTTCGTGAGGAGGAGGGGAGGGGAGGGGGAGGGTAAGAGTGTTAGGGACGATGGAGAGGAGGTAGGGGATGGGGGTGAGCTTGCGCCGGGGACGGAAGTACTACTAGATGGAGGGGTGAAAGTTCCTGATTGGAAGGGGGGCAAGGGAGTTGCTGGGGGGTGGGAGTGTGTGAGGAATGGGGATTGTGGGTTTTTGAGTGGTGGGGCGGAGAGGGGATGGTATGTTCATTTCCCCTTTATTCTTCTTTTCTTCATGTGTGCTTTTGACTTATTGTAATCTGGTGATGGTGGTTGGTTGCTAACTGTTCGCTGATATAGGCACTTCGATGGTGATGAGTCGTTTGATACGGGTCCTATGGCTGGGCCGTCGGCTACCCCGACTTCTAGTGTGGAGTCGTCGGTTGAGGCTGATTTGGGGGGGAGTAAGTTATAGATAGAAGGGGCTTTGTGTGGATGTGGATGTCATCGGGGATAAAGTACACTCAGGCTGTAAGTAGTAAATATATTGCGCTAATAGACTAGATATCTTGCCGCATTAGGCGGTATGGAAATATGATCGCAACTATCAATACATCATGAACTCAAGTTTCAAATCACCGAGTATACTCAATACAAATCTAATGGCTCCGCTATGGCTAATTCTCAGTTGGGGGTATCGTGTTGGGTGCGTTCTCGCCCGTCTCTCTCTGTTCGTTCTCGCTGCTCTGCTGAGCCTGTGTCTGTGCCTCACCAGTCGTACCTGCGTTGGTGGCCTCTTCCTCCCGTCGACGCCGCTCTTCTTCCTCTCTCGCACGCTCTGCGTTCCGGGCCGCTTCTGCAGCGTTGCGCACTTCCACGTGTCTCTCGCCCACGCCGGGAACCAAGCTTGCAATGAAGAGCGCCAGGGACCGTTCCACGCGTCGCAGTTGGTATCGCAGTCCGGTTGGCTGAGCAAGAGGAACATTCCCTTGGCCTGTTGACTGCGTGCCGGATGGTGCTGGGGCCGGCTCGTCCGGAGCAAAATGAACCAGTCCTTCCAGGTGTCGTTGCACTGGCGCCACAAGCATTCGATACAATTGCTGTGGGACCCCGGTTTCTGACAGGAGCGAGACGAGGACGGCCAGAGTCACGTACACCACGCGAGACCATGTGCCCGGTTCGCTGAACATGTAGCAAAAGAAATACAAGCGCACAAATAGCCACATGCGTCGGAGATTGCGCGTGAAGCTCAACTGTCCGTTATTTTCGAGGCGCTGATTGAGTACGGCCTGTCGGACGATGTTCTCCATGACAACTGCGTTTGCGTTGTGAATCTCCGGCGGGGCACCCGTACGAGGCGCTGAGGCTCCAGTTGGGGAGTGCATGGCTCGGAGCGCATCGAGAGAAGACTGCATCGTTTCTGCGCCGCGGGGAGATGCAACCAAGGCTTGATAGCCGTTTGGAGACGAGAGGAGGTACAGAGGAGCTTGCCCTGGTGTGGGATTGGGAGGTCCAGATAGAACAGGTGTGGGCATGGTTCGAGCTTGCGAGACGCGGAGCTGATCGGCGCGGGTATAGATGTTGAAGACGCGGGTAAGCAACGATTCAATCGAGCCGTCGCGTTCAGCATGTGGGTTCTGATATTGGTCGTCGAGCAGAGCGAACAATTGTGTACGTATGCGAATGATGTGGTCCATTGGGGGCGCAACCCCTCGGTTCAGTTGCTCTTCGCCAAACGCAATCTGGTTTCTGAGGATCTGTAGGCGCAATCGGACTTCTTCGGGGAAATTGCTATTGGCATTGGTTGTCCCCGACAGGCCGGAAGCCAATGTGGAATCAGACGAGACGGACGAGTGTCCTGGGTGCGACAGACCGGGGGCTACGTGTGGCCAACCAGGTTGCTGAGCAAACGAAGCTGTTGTCGTCGTGGAAGTAGCCCCCGCGGTGCCTGCCGCGACGCCTCCCAACGGTCCGCCCCGTTCCTGCATGTCAATCTGTCGGCGAATAGCCTCGATATTCCGTCTCAGAGCAAGTCCGATCTCTGCCTCATGGGGAACTGCGGGCAATGCGGGGCCTCGATACCTGATCTCTTGTCCGTGGGGCAGGTGCTGCGGCGTGAATCGGTTCGATGCGAATGGACTTTGAGGTGCGGGATGTCCTGAAGCTCCCCGCGGAATTGGAGCAGGAGCTCGGGCAGAAGTTGAAGCATGGGGAGCTGGGGCGGGAGGAAGGACGAGGTGAATGGAATACTCGGTATCCTGAGAAATCATCACTGTTAGCATATGCCGGCTACAGGGGGTGTATGGAGATAGGAGTATGCGCACATTTGATGACTCTAACACATCATTCAGCGCCACGGCATCGTTCGTCAGGGGCTTTCCCCGGTATATCAGCCTTTGAGTCTCAGGTGATGGTTCGCTCGGGATGGTCTGCGCGATTCGAGCTTTGAGAGAGGAGATGGTGATGGACGGGGAGATGTCGTGGAGAGTGAATCGGTTGGGGGGAGGTAAAGATGGACATAGCACATGTAGTACAATGCTCTGTGAAGATTCCGCCAGAGCGGGCTGATTGTCAGAAGACGCGGTCATCCTGGAGTTGTTCTGTCCTTGCGGAGGGATGTTGGAAGTAGACGATCACAGGCGCATAATCGTAGTCGCAATGCTCACTATAAGAGAGACAGCAGAGTATATCAGAATTAACTGATAGAAATCCAATCAGTCACGTCGAGTGCACACAATGACAATCTGAACAAGTGGTGACTGGCAGTCGATGTGCATGAACCAGACAGCCAGGGACCGCGGGAGAAGTATACAACAAGCCGGAATGATGACGGTGTCCTTTTCAGCCCTGAGATGTGACTGGCCAGAACGACACGAGCCAAGCAATATGAAGCAGAACAACTATAATTGTCAGTTGGACACGATATCACATTCACGCCTACAAGCTGTCCAGAACAACGAAGCACCTAACCACACAGATCAACAAACAGATCGGAGACAGGCAACCATAATGACAAGTGAAGCCGCGCGGACGGAGGGGATTCTGCCCGGCGGTGAAGCAGCAAACCGATGCCGGATCACGGGTTTTTGTGTTTTGACTGTCATAAGATTGACGATCCCATCCTGCAATCACAGCTGCTTCCTCGGTTGATCCCGGTTCCGTGATCAGAGGGCAGGTGTTTCGCACTTGTTTCTTTTACTTCCCCCCTCTGGGATGACTTGCTCCGAGTAGAACCGCATTATGGCCCTGTGCCTGACCAGCCGTTCTGCCCTGTGTTGCCGGAAGTTCGCAGTCTCCCCTCATGGGGAGAAGGTAGGATTGATGGAAGTCTCGTTGCGGGCCACTGGTCGTCGTAAGACCGGTGCCAGGCAGTTTTCGCAGTCCTGGAAACAATATCAGCATCAAAATTCCCACGAAAACCCTTCCCCTCGAAGCACCTTTGGCTCCCGACTCCGTTTTGCCCTACGCAACACCAAAGTCGAATGGTATCCCATCCCCGTCGGTCTTGGTATCGGCCTGCTGGGCTTGCTGCAGTTCTACAAGGCCCAGCGGGCGGAACGTGAACGTGCAGAGAGAGAAGCTGCCGGCGAGACTTTTGATTTCGAAAAAGCTCCTCCCCGTCCAAAGCACCGACTGAGCGGACCATGGCAGGTCCAGATTATGTCCACCTTGCCGCTCAAGGCCATATCGCGGCTCTGGGGACGCTTCAATGAGATTGAGCTGCCTTATTATTTCCGTGTTCCGGGATTTAAACTCTACTCTTGGGTCTTTGGTGTCAACCTAGACGAGGTTGAGGAACCCGACCTTCACACCTATCCCAACTTGGCAGCCTTCTTCTATCGCAAGCTGAAACCCGGTGTTCGGCCTCTGGACCCTGACACTCGCGCTATTCTTGCACCCTCCGATGGACGTATCTTACAATTTGGATTGATTGAACGTGGTGAAGTCGAGCAGGTCAAGGGTGTCACATACAGCTTGGACGCCCTGTTGGGTGCCGCGACCCCGAACCATGCCGACCACACAGATAAGTTCACAGACCACCAGGGCGAGCCGGCCCAGGGAACCGAAGCCAAAGTACTGGCGGACGCTGAGTTTGCCAAAATGAACGGCATCTCCTATACGCTTCCCACGCTCCTGGCAGGAGACCAGAGCGGTGCCCGGAAGCGTTCTGCATCTATCGATGCATCCACCCCATACAAGGCCTCTGCAGAAGCCGAAGTCAAGGCTGACCTGGCTCGTGGGGATGGTGCGCCGTGGTACGCCCCGAAGCCGACGTCCAACAATGCTCTCTACTATGTTGTGATTTACCTTGCTCCGGGTGACTACCACCGCTTCCATTCGCCTGTGCCGTGGGTGGTGCAGAGCCGTCGTCACTTTGCGGGTGAACTGTTCTCGGTGTCCCCGTACCTGCAGCGCCACCTGCCGGGTCTCTTCACCCTCAATGAACGCGTCGTGCTGCTGGGCCGCTGGCGTTGGGGTTTCTTCAGTTACACCCCCGTGGGTGCTACGAACGTTGGCTCGATCAAGGTGAACTTTGATGCTGAGCTGCGTACTAACAGCCTCACCACGGACACCGCGGCCGACATGGCAGCCGCCGCTGCGGCCAAGCGTGGTGAGCAGTACCCTGGATTCGTTGAGGCTACCTACCTCCACGCCAGCCAAACCCTGGGAGGTCACCCTCTGCAGCGTGGTGAGGAAATGGGTGGATTCCAACTTGGTAGCTCAATCGTGTTGGTGTTCGAGGCGCCAGTGGGCACCCGTAAGTCCTTCGACGCGGGCTGGGAAGAAGGCCGACGCGAGGGAGGATTCAACTGGACCATTGAGAAGGGCCAGCGCATTAAGATGGGAGAGAAACTCGGATTCGTTGATGTTGAAAACTGAGGGTGACATACGGGCAGAAGTTCACCACCAAAAAAAGTCATATAGACCAATTTGTGCACCACCGGACGAAGATCCGAGGCGCTTGCTTATGTATCATACACTTTTTCTGTACATCTCAGCTATTAGCTGATCTAATAATTAAACTGTTTTGAACCTACTCATCTACATACTGAATCGTCGATAACCCGATAAGAAACACGTGACTGATAAACGGCAGTCCATCCATGAAGCTTTCCATCCGTTCTCCAACCAGCATCAACAAACACTCTCAAATCCCCACGAATCATGGCCAATTCACAATAACTTGCTTCCAACTGTATCCAACATGCCGCGTCATCATCATCTCCTCCGTCGACACCCCGCACCAGACACCTCCTCCCCCTCCGACAGCACCACCCCCCACCACGCACCGCAACAACCACCCCCGGCGCCCCAACGCGCCAATCGCTCGCGCCTCGGCCACCACGCGCAATTCCAAACCCCTCCGTCCCAAGGCCTCTCCATTCCCACGCTCCATCCTTCCTCCGGAACCTTTGACCCCGACCATCCCCTCCACAGTCACCCCAGCCAGCATGCAGCCCACAACCCCGCCGCAACAGCCGCCCTGTTCTCCCTATTCGGACGCGGCGTGCATGGCCGTCCGCCCAATCACCCAGCGGACCAGATGATGGACGATGATGAGGATGTTGAGGACGAGGAAGAAGAAGAGGAGGACGCTATCCCAGAAGAGTATGACGGGGTCGGATTCAGCCATGAGACAACACTCAGTTCCATCGCCCATCAACGTACCCGGCACCGACAGCGGCAGTTCCAGCGGTCCATTTCCGAGGAGGACGGAATGCTTCCTGCTCATGATGTGGATGCGGCGGGGCCTTCTGATATCGAGGACGAAGAGGAAGAAGAAGTGGAACATGATGAGCAGGTCGAGGAGGATGAAGAGGATGTGGAGATTGAGCCGGAGGCTGGTAGTGAGTCGGAGATGCTACATGAGCGAGGTATGTACCCTTCCCACCACCCACTTTACAGCTACCTAATCTATACAACATGTCAACTAATTATGCAAACTATGTACAGAGAAATCCCCAACTCCCCTCCCCGCTAATCTCCGCGAAATCTCCTCCCTAGCTAGCTGGACCGTCTCAACTCATAAGCCCGGCTGCGGCGTGACTGCCCTCCGTCACCCGTCTCCAACGCAGTACTGGCAATCTGATGGCCCGCAGCCGCATACCCTCACTTTGCATTTCTTTAAACTGGTGGCTATTGTGCGCATCAGGGTGTATCTGGATTTCGAGATGGATGAGAGTTATACACCTACTAAGATGACGTTTCTCGCGGGCATGGGCGGGAATGATCTGGTTGAGTTTGCTAATTGGGAAGGTGAAGGGCCGTGTGGGTGGGTTGATGTGGAGTTGGAGGGCGTGGGAGGGAGGAGTGGGGGGTGGGTTACTACTAGTGCGCAGAGGCAGGGTGGTGCTGGTTCTGGTGCTGGTTCTGGTGCTGGTGGAGGGAAGAAGCAGAAGAAGTCGGGAAGGAGGAGGAAGGGGAAGGGGAAGAGAAGGGGCGGGTTTATCTTTGAGGATCCTGACGTTGATGTGGATGAAGATGAAGAAGATGATGATTATGACGATGACGACGATGAGGATGATCCGTATGCGGGGAATGTGCTCAAGGCCATGGTCATTCAGATGCGAATCATTGAGAATCATCAAAACGGCAAAGATACGCATGTGCGCGGGTTCCAGGTGTTTGCGAGAGATGATGAGAGAAAGAGGGTGGGGAATGCGCCGTCAGCGTCGGCGGATGGTCGTGTCCGGAGACACAGTGCCAGACGGTCGTTGAGAGCCAGTACGCATGAGGATATGGAGCGTGATGGTGTTTCCAAGGTGGTGACGAGTTTGGAGGAGCCGGATTGGATGGGCGAGCCTGTCATTCGGTAGTAGTCATTCATTGTCAGACTCGATTGATAGCATTTCGCGGAGTTTTAGATACCCCCCTTTTACAACATACATCAATATGTCATACACGCAGCAGCTGTCATACACTCCCCCCCCCAATACTTAATACGTAGTACCAGTAAGACGATCACGAGAGTAGCGTGGGTAGTAGTAATGTAATTATTATATTCATCATTTAGATCTAGTCATATCTCATGCGGGTCACCCGCCCAACAATCAATACTTTTTCACCCATCCCATCATGCCAAACTCAATTAACCTACTTCAACAACTTCTCCAGCTCGGCGGCAACAGCATCACCAACCTCGCTAGTGGTAGCCTTACCACCAATGTCACCAGTACGAACACCAGACTCGAGGACATTGCGAACAGCAGCCTCAATAGCGCGGGCCTCATCGAAGCGACCGAAAGAGTACTGCATCATCATAGCGACGGACAGAATGGCAGCAACGGGGTTAACAATACCCTTGCCGGCGATATCAGGAGCAGAGCCTGCACGCGATTAATTAGTAAACCGCACTTCCACCCTAGCAGAATTCAGAATTGGGGGGGAGGGAAACATACCATGAATAGGCTCATAAATACCATTAACCCGGCCCTTCCCATCGGGAATACCACTCAAACTAGCACTAGGCAACAAACCCAAAGAACCAGGGATAACACTAGCCTCATCACTAATGATATCACCGAAAAGGTTACTCGTAACAATAATGCCGTTCAACTGGCGGGGGTTCTTAACCATAATCATAGCGGCCGAGTCAATCAGCTGGTGCTCAATCTTCAACTGAGGGAACTCCTTCGCCATGACCTCAGTGACGGTCTTTCTCCACAGACGACTCGTAGCCAGCACATTGGCCTTATCCAGACTCCACACGGGGAGAGGGGGGTTGTGCTGCAGGGCAAGGTGTGCGGCGAGGCGAGTGATGCGCTCGATCTCGGCGCGGGAGTAGGGCTCTGTGTCCATGGCGTAGCCGCTGCCGTCGTCTTCCTTGCGGTCTCCGAAGTAGATACCACCCGTCAGTTCGCGGATGATGTTGAAGTCGACGCCCTCGCAGACTGAGGCTTTCAGGGGGGAGTGCTCGACCAGGGAAGGGGCGGCGAAGTTGCACGGGCGCAGGTTGCCGAATGTGCCCATTTCTTTGCGCAGCTTCAGGAGACCTTGCTCCGGGCGGACGGCGCCGGTGCCCCATTTCTGTTCGCAGAGTTAGTTGTTGGTGGTGGTGGTGAGGATGGTGGTGGGGGGGATGTACCGGTCCACCGATGGCACCGAGGAGAACGGCATCGGCGTTCTTGGCCGCGGTCAGGGCCTCGTCGGTTAGAGGGTTGCCGGTGGCGTCAATGGAGGCCTGTATAGTTGTAGTGTCAGCGTTTTATGGTCTTGTTATACATAGGATTTGATTGGGACGTACACCGCCCAGCAGGTGGTCCTGGAGGTTGAGGGTGATGTCATCGCGGCTCTTCTCGATGACGCGGAGAACCTGTGGTGAAGCATAGTTAGCATTGAGGGAGTCTGGAAGCTCAATTCGGAGCTGAGCATGATCTGCTAACCTTGATGGCCTCGGCGGTAACCTAGATTGACGTTGGCATTGGGTCAGTCGATTGTCCGGAGCTGTACAAGGGTATAGGCTCAGCGCGGACTCACCTCGGGACCGCAGTGGTCACCGGCGAAAACGACAATGTTGAAGGCGGGCATGATGAGGGCAAGTAGGGTAATAGTCTGGCACGGGGAAAAGTGGACGATTGAGCGGAGGAGAGCGAGGTATAAACTACAACTTATACGGACTGGCGGGGCAGTTGGCGAGGCTCCCCGCGCCGACACCGGAGCCACTGCCGGCCCTAGTCCACCCCCGGTTTAGCGCGGCGTGTGTACTTTTACCCACGCTTACCACCGGAGTTACAGCTATTATTAACATTGACTCACTGTAAATGTGTCCACTCTAGTAGTCCCGATTAAAAATGCTATCGACGATGGCGGCGCCAATTTAATCACACGAAAAAAGCATTGAAACAAAGACAGAAGCCATGCAAGTAGAAAGTAACACAAAGCACGCCTCCAATATCGTCCCATTTTTGCCCTGAGACGTCTGTACACCTAGCCTTATATGCCGCAGTCCCGCCCATCACATATACTAAGACATGACCGATATCCTCGAGCCAGAGAAAAGAAATAGAAAAATGAAGAGAGACATGGGGTAACGGAAATTATGGGGAGACTTCTGGGTCACTCTGAACTGTCCAGAAACAGCCAGAGCACCAGAACCATGCAGAAATTATCTGACCCGGTCTGGGAACATCCATAACTCCTCCAGATCCCGGGAACGTAGCCCAACGGGCATTATCGAGTTGACTGGTAGCTAGAACAAGCCAACTTCAGCCACGAACTGTCAGAGCATGACTTAGTTCTTCTTGCCATTGCGCATGGCCTTGCGGCTAGCAATGTCGCCCTCCACCAGCCACTTGCTTGCCTTGACCAGCTGCACAACGTTGATGAACTGCTTCAGAGCCATGACGGGAGCCGAAATGCCGGTGATCACCCAAGGCCAGAAGCTGTCGATCTTGTTGGCGCGCGCCATCTCCAGAGCCCCAGCACTCCATGGGCTGGCAGTGCTCACAGGCTGCAGGAGGGAGGGAGACAGAGTGGGGGAAGAGAAAGAGAGCAGGTACAGGCCGATGAAGAACAGCTCATTCAGCGCGCAGCAGATAAACAGAACGGTCTGTGGCGCATGTCAGCATGTTGACCGAAAGAGACGCAAACGAACAACGAACCCTGCTGTGGTAATACTGGTACAAGACCCAGCTGCGGCTAGCCTCCACCTTCTTGTGGCTCTGGCTGGAACCTCCCATGCTCAAAGTCGCGTACATGTGCATGTAGTGACTGGCCATGTCCAAAGCGATCAAGCTCTGGAAGATAATGGCCCACCGTGGCCAGGCGGAGCTCAGGAAGACGAGCAGACACGCGGTCGTGCACCGATCCGTCACCATGTCCAGCACCGCGCCAAATGTGGTAGACTGATTATAGTAGCGCGCCGCATATCCATCCAGAGCATCCAACAGACACGACACGCTGTAAAGGAGGGAGCACGTCCGCGGGTGCAGAGGCATATAGTAGAGGGAGGCCATCGTCAACACAACACGCGCATATCCTAATCCCATCCAAGTTAGGTGTTGTTAGACTGCAATAGGATCGCTGAGCTCTTACCGATCAAGTTCGGGGCAAAAAGAAACACGTTTTCCTCCACATCACCATCAGCAGTGACTGCTGCACCGTTCTTTGGCGATTCCTGCAAGGTTCCGTTAACGGCCGGCGATGGGTCGGTTGCCTCCAGCTCAGCGGCGGCTTTCTGTGATCTAGTTCGGGGGCCCATCGTGGCGAAAATAATATGAATGCTGAAACGGAAGTAGAAGTAGTTTGTAGGAGGTTCCGGAAGGGAAAACGCCTGGGCGACGGGGAGTTGACGGAAGAAGGAGAAGCTCTATCCGAGGGGTTCCACGAGGACGGCGAGTGGACCGTGTCCGAAGCAAGCTTCGAGTCAATCGGAGCAGCAAAACTCAGTCGGGTAAGAAGGCTAGAGAGATGGAGACAGTAACGTTAGCACGTCTTACAGTGTCTCACTAGAAATGGACCACGAGGTCAAGGCAAGTTCAGATAGGGTGAGAGAAGACGACGGCGCCGGAGATTCTCCTGAAAGCTTTGTGGAACACGTACCTTCTGCTTTTTTTGCGACGCGCCTGTGCCAGAAGCCAAAGATCACAGGATTCGAGTCCACAACAGAGAATAATGTCACTGTACAGAGAGCCAACAGAAGGGAAGTCGTAACTATCTTAACAGCGCGTGGAAGGGCAGTCTGTCCACGTTGGTCAGGAGAGGAAAATGGCCATGTGTGAGGTTTGGCGATAAGGTTGGGGGGTGATAAGAAGGAGCCACTCACGATGCGGTCACCTTAATTCATCCGCCGCAATCCGAGGAGTGGTGCTATAGCACTGATCAAGACAGTTGATCACTGAAACTAAGTGTCAATGTGCAACAACGAGTTCCAAGAGGAGCCAAGTAATGATATGAGAGAGATTTAGAGAGGCGGGTGGTCAGGAGAAGAAGCTGTTCTCTGTTTGCGGCCAGCCTTACATCCTCTTCCGGGCCGGTCCCGACCAAGAGTTGCCCGTGGACCCTGATCTACCCTTCCCATACATCAATTAGAATTCAACCTGCAATTAATTCTTTACTCAAACTCCCATTCTAAAGTAGTGGCGTGTAGACAAAACAAAAGAAATTAGTTGTCAAGGACTGCGTATGTACAGATGTAAACTATGCAAAGCTCTCGAGAGCAGCACGAACCAAACGAGCAGCAGAAGAAATAAGCTATATACAAACAGGCATATTCTCTATCAAATGTTAAAAATCTTCATTATCATCTCCGTGACCTGCGCGGATCTGTCGCTTCTTGCCGACGCCACTCTCGAGACTCCTTTGTCCCCAAGCTGCCCAGTCCTCCCTCTAGCCGTCGCTCCCACCCGCCTAATCGGACTACCAAGCAGGTGGCATTGTCTCCTTCACGGGTCACCTCCGTCGCAAATTTGACCACGTCGGAAGCACCCTGGTCGGGGGTCTTGGCTTCCTTGACGATGTCGACGACCTCTTGGTCTAGGAGCGTGCCGCTGACTCCGTCCGACATGAGTACCAAGAATGAGTACTCGGCTGGGCCCATCTCGATGCGACGGATCTCTGGCTCTGCCGAGACACCGATGCGCTTGGACTGGACGTCCCCAAAAGATCGAGTGTTGGCAAGCCCGCTCATGCGCTCTTCTCCAAACGAGTCTGTCACAAACGTGGTAGCGTACCGTCGTAACCGGGAAGCTTCAATAGGCGACGAGGGGTGATGGTTGGACGTGACCGGGATGGCTTGGCCGGTCAAAGTGGAACACAAGAGGATCCGGGTATCTCCGACATGCGATACAAGCAGGCTAGATGGAGCATTGGGGTGCCAGAACGGAGCGGGCGTCGGAGTTGAGATGAGCGCAATACTGGCCGTGCTGCCTCCCTTGAAGCGATTGACCCCGCCAATGTTCAACGATCGGGAGCGGCTTGGGCCATACAGGATATCATCCTGATGCATTGGCTGACCGACCTTTGTGAATTCATCGTCTCGTTTAGCCGCTTGTGCCGAAACAAACTCCAGATCAGTCCGGAGAAAGGCATACTCCAAGATCTCCTCAATGGTGACCCCCATGCCAGAATCCACATCCGTCGTCGAGTTCTGTTTTCCAGCATGTGTGAAGTGAGGTGGAACGAATCTCTTGAAATAGCCGCCAACCAATGTCTTCCAGTTCTGCACAAGGATCTTCTCTAATTCTCCGATACGCTTAGAGTTACCGCCTTGTACTATTGGCAACGCTCCGGATGAGGGATCCGCGCCCCGCGGGAACTGGCCGCTTGAGCCTTGTCGGAGACTCGACTGTAGTTCAAAGGCGGCCGCGGTATCCTGAATATATTCATGAAGCCAGTCCTTCAGAAAAGTACTGCACTCCGTTCCGCCATGGCCGTCAAAGACGCCGAAGTAGAAGACCTGCGGATCCCCGCTCGCGGTGTCGGCCCCGCGGCTCTCTCTGGGGACAGGGATAGTGCCAGTCTTCTTGATCGTCAAAGAGGCCGGTGGACGCTTCGCAAAAGCGGGTATATCGATGACACCAGCCTGGTAGGCATCTTCATTGTAGGGCCGGGTGCCTCGTAAGCTGTGTGCACCAAAGTGGTGTTTGGCACTCCGCAGTGGGATGCGAACGACAGTGGTGTCCCGGTCGACAAGGGGCTGGAATGCGGCGGGAGAATGCGAGATCTCGCCCGTATGGGGGACCGACTCTGCACGAGGGAGTTTGTGGAAGGGGGCCAAAGGACCCCGGGGATCCGGATGTAGCGAGGACGAGGGCAGATGAGTGACGAAATAGTCGTGGAACTCGCGACGCTTGGTGGGGCGGATATCGTCAGGAACAATATACTTGGTCGAGTAACGACAATGCCGAGACCAGATAATATAGACTAGAGAGGAGACAAGAAAAGGTTAGCTAGGGGGGATGGTGAGACGCGAATGCAGGACGACCATGCAACTCCAGGCCGATCTGGCTGGGCGCAAGAAAAGGCGCGGAGATAAGAGAAATCTGGGGGAGGCGGCGAACTCACGATAACTGTCAGCCAGGGTCCGGACCTGGACGGAGACTCGCTTGGCGGGAGACCCAATCATGAAGGCCGAAGCATTGGTAGGATGATGTCTATGGAAAAAAGTCTGGGAGAGCAAAGTAGAAAAACACGAGCACACAAAGGGAGGTGCCGGACACGAAGCAGGAAGAAGGTTCTTTGCCTTTTATCGGAAATCCGCGGGGGCTGCTGATTTTGCGGGCCGAGCAATCAGCGCGGCGGAGAAACACAACGGCACTTCTTCTTACTACTTCTACTACTACTTAGTACTTCCACTGCTACTTGTTTTGTCTCTCCCTCCCTCGCAGCAATTCAACTGCAATGTTTGCTGCACCCTGTGACTTATACTTCAGGCAACAGACTCGGTACCTTTTCTGTTGCTAAAGGGTGGAAATAGTGGAACTCTCCAACTTCTCCCCCTTTCCTCTCACCAGTAATCAACGCTTGAGTCTTGTCCCCGTCTATTCGACTACATACATCATTGGAGCAGCAGACTGGAAGAGAACAAACAAATCTCACTTGCGGTATTCTAGACCGTCTCAACGTTTCTTCAAGAAAACAAACAGATCCCTGGAATAGGATGAGAACATCCACCGTATGCGCTCTCGATCAATGTCTCACTACACTAAAACGAGGCCCATCAACTACACATCTGACAACAAGACACGCATTCAAAATGTCCACTACTAAGCAAGCTATTCTAACCACAAGAGCAATTGGATCAAAGGTACAGGAAAATATTTCCTTAGCTACCGTTATGAGTCTATCATAGCGGTCAGAAACTCTCCAGTAAGCAGGAAAACGTGGCAGCAGCAAGACGGCAGCCATACACGTATATGTGATGCTACCAGTTGGGTCTCCGAATAAACACATCACGTCAATTAGTCGGAGAACTACCCGGTCTGATCCGATAATTCTTATCTGTCAAATTTGGGTTCTTCACATTGATGAAATGATTGTGGCTGGCCATGGTCGCGTAGTTGAGCTGTTAATTGACCTGAATTAATCAATGCTGTAGCCAATGTCCGTACGTAAGCAGGCGCATGAGAAGAGTCAGAGGATGTATGCCCTGTAACTCTGGATACGAAGACGCAGTAAGAAAGATGATGTGTTCTGTTTCATCAACTGAGTAAGCGATATGGTTAGGGGCTGGATCAGCAGACTAGTATCGATATATATCAGGTACAGTCGGGGTTTGTATGTATAGTACTGCGTAGATCAGTTCACACGCGAAGTATACAATGTGGACCTGCAGGCAGTGTCGTAGTATCAACCAGTGTCCCTGTTATACGGTGTTACACTCATATTTGAGAAAGGGGAGCAACGGGAAATGTATGGTGGCATCTACAAAACACTGGCAGTACTTCAGTGAAGAACTCAATGATGAAGTGATCAGTAGGCTTGAAATTACAACAATCTTTTCATGACTGACAATTGTCAATTAACAAGGTTACGAAAAAAACTATTTGGCGCTAACGCAATGTACAAATCCCTATAGACAAGATCATTCCACGAGGCTCTCGGCCTGATAGACAACCATAAAGGGTAAGATGTCAAGAAGACTGGCACCTACCAGGGGCAGTGTCATCCAAGCCAAGCACCATGCCGAAGCAACCGCTCAACAGTTCAAAGGCCAAAGTGTGGTCCGGCCGTCACAGATTGCACCTGGTAAGAGAGACAAATTAGATGTAATACCTACCCGTATCTGGTCATGGTAGGCACGGGCCGATGTCATATACTTCAGATCGCTTTGGTTCGGGAGAACAGACTGCTGTAGACAGCGTCGACGACGGGCTGGGCGGTGATCTGTCGACCACCAAAGAAACGCCCGTTCAGGCCCTTGATGGCGTTCTCGCCACCCTGGACGCGGTCGAACTTCAGGTAGATATCGCCTTGCGAGTTGGGATCTAGTGCAATGTGAACAACATGGCCATATTTGTCTTCGCACTCAGCGCGAACGTCATCCTCCAGCTCCTTAATCCAAGCTTCGCCCTCCTCCCTGTGATATTGTTAGCTTCCAGATACCGATCAAGAAAGCTATGACAGGACAACTTACTCGTTGGGGTCGAACATGTTGCGGAGCATGACACACCGACTTGCCATGTTGACGTTAACAGGCAGAGGCTTGGCCTCAGTCTTGGGACGGAGCACCTTTTGCTGGTCATCGGCAGCAGGCTCGGCTGGTTCATCTGTTCTTGCAAGCTTGCGCATCAATGCATCCCTACTGTAGTTGTTGAAATTTACACCGGCAACATCTGTATCGTCCAATGCACTAGCACCGGCCCCCTTTTCGGAGTCACGACCACCAGCGCGGTCGAAGTTGCTGGTACCGCCGGCTTGAACACCACGTCCTCCGTGACCCGAGAAAAGAGAGCCCTGGAAGTTATGTTGGTTTGCACCTTGGCTCTGCATGCGTTGTGCGTTCGAGTCAGGAGTGAACTTATCGTTGCCAAGGCCAACGCGGATTGCTCGACCAGCAAGGTCAAATCCATTCATCTTTTCCAATGCCTCACGAGCCTGGTTAGGATCACGGAACCTATACACGGTGTAAGCAACAGTTACTGACAATATGAGTAAAATATGTAGGGGTAGAACTTACTGCACGAATCCATAACCCCTGCTGCGACCAGTCTCGTCCTTTTGCAGCTGGACAAATTCGAGTTCGCCAAAGGGCTCAAAGACGTTCTGGAGGTCACTTTCAGTGATGCTGAAATGAATGTTACCCACGTACAACCTGTGAAATGGAGCAGCGTGATTGTTGCCGCTGCTGGCCTCAGGATTGCGGGCCTGGCGGTTCTTTTCCGCTTCAGTCAATTGCGCGATAATGGGAATTCCTAGAAGTTTCTGTCCGGTAAGCTGGATAGCGGGTGCAACGGCGTCTTCGCTTTTGAACTCGACATAACCGACACTGGTGAAAGTCAGTTACACAGCTCTCCTATCATCTGGGAAGGAGATTAACTCACCCTTTAGACCGCCCACTGACACGGTCCTTGACGATCTGGGCTTCCTTGACAGGTCCGACTTTCTCAAAGAACGCAATCAGCTCCTTAGTTCTCAACCGCGCAGCAAGCTGCTGAACGAAAATGGTACGCCTGTCACGCTCATCCTCGGTGGGTTCCGGCGTCCTCTCGCGGCTTCTCGGGCTCGGGCTTCGTTTGCGGTCACGGCGAGTGCGTCTGTCTTCATCTCGCTCATCGCGACGGGAGCGGCCCGAGGGGCGGTAATAGCGATCATCGTAAGGCGACCGAGAGCGAGTGCGAGCCCGTCCACCCCCGCGGTAGAAGTCGCCACCAGAACGGTAATCGTCACCGTAGCGGTCACGACGAGACCGACGGCGTTCGCTATCACGACTCCTGCTCCTCTTTCTGCTTCTATGGCTTCCGTTAGCACTGCCATGTTCGCTTTTCGGGCTCTTCATGTCTTCATCTCCATCGATGTCTCGCGAGCGACGTCGATCACGGCTGCGGTCCCTGCGCTTGCGGTCCTTCTCTCGTGACCGATCGCGGTCCCGGCGGTCATTGCTGTCAGTTTTCGAGGAGGAGCGGTCATCGCGGTCCTGGGAACGGGGAGGGTCTTGAGATGGCGGAGCGGCTGTGGACTCGAGGAGAGCCTCAACATCGAGACCTGACATCTTGGTATATATGCTGCAATTTGTCTTTTCCTGGGCTAAACTGAACAGACAACAAATGCAACGAAGATTGCGCGGAAAGGATTGAGGTCACTTTTGGCTTGGTTAGAGAGTGACGGCGTATCAAGCTTGACTTGAGCGAACCCTTCTGTTTCAAATCCGGAAGCCGGCAAGTTGTTTCTAACACTGTAATATAGATATTCTCGATGCCGTATAATTAGGAGTCGGGATAAGCGGATTCCCTACAGGGGTGGTGCTGCAGCTGAGGAGTGAGGTGAAGAGATGTTGAAGATACTGTCCACCTCAATGTTCCGATGGCGTGGGATGCCGACACGTCACGTGGTCTTGGCGTCTTTGCCTCCTTATCTTTTGTCCTTTTATAATTTTTTTTTTTTTTTTTTTTTTTTGCGCCGACTAACACGGCTATGAACCACGGGTCATCTAGCACTCAACCGTACCCTGGCTTGAACTCATTTCATCGATAGTGTAGATAGGAGAAAGATTATATTATAAGCGGCTATATGCTCTGTACAATAGTAGATAATGGTTTCACAAAAGCAACGAGAGTCATGGTCACATATCATGGAAGAATAACGTATAGTTTTCTTCATCCGGCCATGACAATCAATGTACATGAAAAGATTCACACAAGAAGCCCAACTCCGGATTGTCAGCGTGGGTAAGAATAAACACGCGTCGGCGACATTACTTCGTACATTAAAGATATGAATAGAGAGCAAATAATGGGGGAACACCGAGAAACCAGAGTATGAAGCATCAGGATGTCACGTATGTTCATTGGGTCTTCTTGGGAGACGGCATCTCAAGCTCAGTGCCGAAGACGCGGTCCCAAAAGCGACTAGTGACGCCAAAGCCATTGTCGAAGTCCGCGAAATGATGCTGGAGGTGGTACTTCTTGAGCGCCTTGTAGTAGGAAGGGAGGCTATAGATGAACATCAGCGGTTAGCAAATATTAAACGAAGAGCTTGGAGAATAGATTTACTCACTTGCGGTGGTGGAGGAAGTAGTGAGTCATGTCATAACAGACATAGCCGAAGACACCTCCACAGAAGACCGTCACAGCGGCATACCAGTTGTAGAAGAACACCGTGTGCGCTAACTTCCAAAATGGGGCGGCCAAGACGACAAATAGAGTCGGTGGCATGACCAACCGATACTTGTCCATGGGCAGGTAATGATGGATTCCATGTAGCAGGAAGTGAAGGGTAAGGCCAACGCGGTTATCAGGAAGCCACCTACGAAGCATTAGCACCAGCAATTAGAGAGATGAATGGGGCAGAGCGTCATACTTATCGATGTGAAACAAGAACCTATGCATGACATACTCTATCAAGGTCCAGAGGAAGAGACCACCGACCCAATAAGCAGCGGCAGCCGGCACATTCGCCAGTCCAGAGAAACCAACGATAGTCCCATATGTGACTGGAGGAAGCCACATGATAGGAACAACATACCAAGCTGTCTTGCTCAAAGGTTCAAGGAAGTTTCCAAAGAGCGGCGCGGACTCCCCACCCTTGTAATGACGCGGGCGATGGATCTGGTCCAGGTAGAACTCCTTGGTGAACCCGCTGTTCCACAGCTGGAGAAGGAGAGGCTTGTTGAGATCCAAAAACTTATGTGTCTGATAATCCTTGGTAGGATCGGTCTCTACCGACAGGTCCTCTTCGCAAGACAAGCCAGTTGTTGCAAACACCGCCTGCTGTTCTTTTGATTGAGGAGTGCACCCGTTTGCTGCCTTTCCGTTGGGTTCCGACGAGACAAACCCAACAAGACATTCGTCCAGAATTTCGTATGCCGAATCCGAATGGGCGTGGGATGCCGGATCGCGCAGTATCTCCGTCACATCTTTGCCAGCATATTCGAGGACCAACTCTTCACCACCAGGATGACCGGCGACAAAGTCAGTAACGTCATAAACCTTTGATCCCAGGGTCACATAGCACGAGTTGGCATCATTGTGAGACTCGACCTCGGCCGGGGTGAAAGTTGGAAGGGTTCTGCCAGGCATGGTCGTCGCAAGGCAAAGGCCTAAAGAGCCAGTACCGTGTTGCGAATTTCGAGGGACGGAAGGAAGAGACGAAAGTCTGGAGGTAAGGGGTGTAATGCGAGAGTCGTAGTTGGACGGTTAGCGATCAGTTGTGGTGCAAACCGCTATAAATGGCTGAGGGAGAAGTGGCGTGAGCTTCAAAATATCGAGCAGGGATCACGGGTCCGAGGCTCCGAAGGAAAAATTCGCTGAACCACTGAAACAACAGAGCACAACAATCGCAAAAGTCTGGCAAGCACTGCTACAACACAGCAAGGTCGATTCTGTGAAGTTTGTGTGTGACTGAAAAAGCAATAAGTTCTTTTCTCCTCTGTACAAAGAGCGACCGTGTGGCTCACCATAGAGGAGGCGCTTCCTCAGGCCGTCGGGGATACAACGGGAATCTGCGGAAGGCACTAGTCCTCTTTGGGAATTGCCCCTGAGTGGCCATCTTAGTAAGCAGTGGACTGACTTTTGCGCCTAAGGCCTATACAAGGCATCTATCAGGCAGCGACAGGCGCTTGACCGAAACAAGAGGCTAGCTGAACGGCTGAAGGGGTTTAAGTGGGCAAGGTAGTACAGAGTACTACGGATACGAGGCTACAAAAGGAAGGCGCCCAGTTTTTGGGTCAAAAAAGAAACGCAGGTTTATGGTTCACACTTAATATGGAGCTCCTGCCAAATTAGCGACGGCATGCAGCAATATAGCCCCCAAGTATAGCACTAAGCTACCGCAATACTCTCGCACTTCTGAGGCTAACCTTGCGACAATGTAGGTAAGACTGGCTACCGCTTTGCCCAAGACACTACTGTGGACTGTGTTGCTTATCAGATGTATGGCCCCAATGAGATATTATTCCTTGGGTTGTGTGGTCAACACGTAGGCATTGGTGCAATGATCATAGCTGGGCGCAAAATGGAGCCATTGTGGTCTCCATCCAATATGGAGCGCATCTACGAAGTAAATTGCCCGATCACATGAGCCCATACAAGATAGTTGCGGATGCCGGTAGCGAGTCACTGTTGTGGTGCTGTCTTTCAGTGTCAGTAGTCTAGCAGTAGCTACTCCGCACCCACTATCTACATGATATCCGTCAAGTGATGGCCTGATCGTCAATAATCCTGCCTACCGGTTCATGCGACCAATGACAGACCAATCCGGTTTTTGGTGGTATTTGGTGGGACTCCATCCGGGATGTCTCTTTTTGCCTACTAGAGTACGGGTTTCGAGTGGGTTTTGGCTCTGCGTGTGCGAGGGAGCAAAATACTACACCGTACACCGTACACTGTACCATCATATCTCGGTCTGTGGAGTTGGAACCCGGGCACTGGTCACTCGCCGTCCGAGGCAAAAGCATGGCGGCCTGAAACTGTCTCCAAGCGGATCTCCTCTCAAAGCATGCCTCTTTTACTATCGGGGGTGTCGTCAAAGCGTCGATGGCAGCTGAACACTGGGGCGGATCTGGGACGCATCACAAGACCCCCGACTGTCGGATGTATCACAGTACGTCTAGAGCTGTGAGCTTTGGGTGGCTTTTTCGGAATATGAGAAATGAGGCTGTCATCCGAACAAGCAGTGTGGCGTGCCTTGATGGTCTCAGTCTCGCCAAAACGAGCCATTATGAGCAGGTTCCGAAACCAAAAGTATAATAGCAACTAACGACGTTGAGAGTTGGGACATGAGATCGGCAAGCAAGAGACTATCTAGATAGTAGTTGACGGTTGAATGGGGAGGGTAAGCGCTGGGCAGAAAGCACTAGTAAGCGAGGATGGGGAGGACTCGAGTTACTAAACGCCCAGCCGAACCGAATTCAGCGCCCGAACAGAAAAAGTTCAGCAGTAAATTATGCTCCATTTCCACAATCTGGTGAAGCGCTACTGGCCACATCGCATCCCGTGTTTCCTCATATTAGCTAGCTACTGCTATTTAAATCTATCTATATTTACTTTCGTGCTTGCCTTCGCCACACACACAGCCAGTGTAGTCACGATTTCTAAGTGGTCCCCCTCTGCCGGGAAGGGCGAAATTACGGGCTGGATAATGACCCGCCCGCTGCGTATGCGGCGTAAGTTGCGTAACATTTCCACTGTACCGGATCGCTCGTTCCGACAAGGCGGGTTCGCCCCTGTCCGTATGGGGAAAAGGAAGGATGGAGGCTGGAGCTGGAGTGGATGAAGTTGACGGGGCACTGGGCGTGCACTGGGCATGGCTGGACGAGTAGGACAAGGTCTTTCTGGTGGGTTACACTTGTGCCCAATAACCGGACAGGATTGACTTGAACAATTGGAGAGGAAAAGAGAAAAGAGAGAAATGGGGCAACCAAGAGAAAAAAGGGAGAGGAGGGGGAGGGGGGTAAAGAGAGGGGGGCCGAGATGGATGATGCCTGTTCGGAGGGAAGACTTTTGATTTGAAAGTTGAAACCGGGTATGGAGTACTGTTGAGCAGTCAAGGCGATCTCCATGGATGGAAATCATTTGGAGATCATCAGAAGTGGAGGAGCTAAAAAGAAACTTGCAATTTGAATTGAACGGCTTGATTGGAAAGTGAGAATGCTCCATGGTTTGTGGTGGCCATGGTTCACAGATAGATTACCTCTCACTCATGGACAACTCCCTTCTCTGTTGATGACTATTTCCCTGATTTCTCGGTTTGGTTACTGGCCATCTTCGTACTGCGCGGTACTTTAGCATACAGTTTTCCTCCGTTCCAGCCGCAAAGTCAGTTCTCTGATCGGTAAGAGAATGTATCGGCCGGTGGGGAGTCCCTCGGTATTTCCCCGTGTCGCGCGGCTCCGTCTGTCGATGGAGTCTAGTAGTTGACTCGACTCGACCAAGCTTGGGATAAGGTATGTCCCATTCTCATTCATGCATTCATTCGCTCGTTCTCTCATTCATTCCTCGCCCATCAATTCATGCTTTTTTTTGCCGCCTTCGTTCGTTTGCATTGGCCGAATTCAGGTAGCATTCAACTTATTTTAGGTGCATTTATTTTTCTCATTGGAATAGTAACAGCCTATAAATTGATTAGCCAAATATATTAGTGTACGGAGTATGTTGGTGCCAGAAAAAAAAACAAATCACTGTAGAGCAAAGCAGACTTTCCGTTCGGCAGATTTCTCTTTCTCTCGATTCCCCCTCTTATTGTACTTTCATTTTAAGAGAAAACGGATGGAGATCTGCTTGATCCGATTCCTCCTTCGAACCACATCCGAACGGGTCCCCCCCTCAACCCCTGTCGACTGATCATGTCGAGCTAAATGTCGGAAAAGTGGGGACGGTGTTCAATTGTCAATCATTTTGTCTCGACCGAGTCGACCAGTCAAGGGACTGGAAGTGGGTTTTACCTCCATTCTAATTAGTGTACCTCAGTAGCTCAACGGGAAGAAAGCTCCCTGAGCCAGAAAGTGAGGGAAACAAAGAAGAGAAAGAAAAGAGACACACACACACACACACACAGACATAGTTAACCTGTTCTTCCCCTCGTCCTCTTCCCAACCCTTTCATCTCTTCACTCACTCCACTCTCCCTCTTTCTCTTCCTTCCCTCTTCCCTCCCCTCTCTTCTCTTCTTTCCCCTAAATCTCCGCCCCCTCACTTTTCTTGTCGCTTGTCAACCTTGTCTCTCACCACAATGGATACGTTTTCGTCGTCGGACAGTCCGTCCTTCCCCGGCAACCGCATTGTGTCCTACCTACGAACTTTGGCCAAGTCCAAGTCCGAACTGCCTTACGGACTGCCTGTGTGTGTGTCTCCCTCTCACACGGTTACCAACACGGACTCGCTCCTGCATCTCGCGTCCTTGGTCGGCCCCCATATCAGCATCCTTCAGGTTCACGCAGATATCATCGATGACTGGTCCGAGGAAACGGTTCGCCAATTGACCACTTTGGCTAGAAAGCATGGCTTTTTGATCTGGGAAAGCGGTCGGATTCTCAATTCCACCGTTGACGTTGTCGGTCGGCAGAAGTCTGAATCGAGAGAAGTACGGAATGGGGTGGTCGACTTGATACGGAAGAAGTACACTAGGGGTGTGGTGAAGCCAGCATCATGGGCGGGCATGTCGACAGCCTGGGCGTCGGGGGCCGCTGTTTACAACCAGGAAGCCGACATCTTGATTCCGACCTTGAAGGCTGCCGCTCGGGAGGCAGTGGCAGACGCTGTGCAGACCATCAGAACCGAAATCACCGCCGACAGTTTCGCAAATGAGCAATCCAACAGCGATCAAGACTCGGCACAATCCCAACATCTTACGGAGTATGTCGTCGACCAAAGTGGCCTGGGACTGCCCCCACGGAAGGCCTCGACTATCTCCCTTACCCAAACAATCACCCAGCATACCGAAGATTCTGCCGATTATCCCTTGGAATCACCTCAGTTCGAGCGCCATGGCTTCGAGTTTGGAACTTTGAGTCCATCTACGATACCTGAGGATCTTCCTCCCCCGCCTCTTCTGGCCCGTGGTCTAGTACTTTGTTTGCCATCCAGGACCGATACTTCCTTTACTCCCGACTACCGTCAGAGCTGCATAGCTGCTGCCCGTGCCAATCAAGATTTCGTGGTGGGATTCCTCTGTGGTGAACCATGGCATCTTGCCTCGCAGAGAAGCGACATCTTTGAGACAGGCCTGTCTGGTTACAACGATGAGCAGCAGCAGCTGAGCCCATACTCGTCGGATGACGACGAGGAGCTGCCACACTTTGCGCTGTTCTCTCCCATCTGCCAAGGTGGACAGCCGCTCGACGGCAGCGAGGAAGATGAAGAGATGGGAGAGGAGGACGAGACACCTCTGCCTGAGACCACGATACCACTTGAATCCCTCAACCCTCTCGCCGCAAAACTATTCTATGCTGCTGGGAAGGCATTCAAACTCCGCGAAGCAACCAGCCAGGAAAATGGAATTACGCATAAATCCGACACCACAAAAAGTTGTCAGATCTTGCACATTCCTATCGTCTCGTTGCCGTGAAGAGGCACCGCTGGGAAATCCCTTACAGCATACGCCACATCCTTTCCTTTTGATTTCGAATAACTAATCACCTATTCTGTTCGCACATATACATATTTATTTCGCTACTATGTCTTTTAAAGCAACAATATCGCACAAGGGAGGTCTGGAGTTAAGCGCTGTCAAAACCATTTCGTTCTGTCATGTTCTGTTATTACCATCTTCTGAGTACAACATTAGGGGGTTCAGAAATCATCTGTGATTACAGCCAAAGAGCATAGCAAATTTTAGCATCACCAGGCTCGGGGAATACAAGAATTCCAAATACCAATGACCACTAAAACGTAAGCATCCAATCGGGGCATATAGCAGCCCGAGCTAAATTGCAACGGCGCCATTTAGAAAGGTGTCTAGAACTCTAGATCCAATCCCTCAGGCTCTAAATTCATTGTAGCCTCATTCCCTGCAGCGGTCGGGACCGACGCCGGCCGAGCACTCCCCAGGCATCTGGTGAGATGCTATAAGAGCCCCTTACGATGATCTTGATCCTTTTTGGGTTGAGCAGACTGTATGTGGGTACGAATGATAACATCTAGCCCGGACTCGAACTCGAGGGCCACGTATTTGCGGTCAAGATAGTATAATGGACTGAGCATTTCAACAACCTTTTTTTTCTGGTTGACAAATTGGTTATTATCAAAGGCCCAATTCCATTGCCAGATAATCACTAGTGTAGTTGTATGTATTGGCCCATGAATGACTTGCTACTTATTAGTAGTAAGTACTAGTAGGTTGGCATGGGGCTCTATAGTTCTGACAGTATGTCTGGTACTATCCAGATAGTTTGCTATTCGGATATTTATATGTCTTCCGCTTCAGTGAGTGCCGGTCATCGACGGCAATTGCAGTAAGAATTATACCACTCGCTTCTTCCAGATACAGTAAATTGCTTTATATATATTATTTTCGATTAGCACGAAACTGGTCCACAACTGAAAAAGGAAGTGTCAAACCAAGATGAGGAGAGGAGAACGAACGGCGTTGAAGCATCCCCGCGGTGGGTCACATGACGATATGGCTCGAAGAGGCAATTCTTTCGATCCAACCACCACTTCTTTCGACCAACATCTCTTATTTGCACACATATTGTTTCCATCATACTTTGAAGAATATGTTTGGCTTCTCGATATGAGAAGGCTGCACATAGCGTCATAATGCCAGAGTTGTTCCGGCCAGTGGCCTCCAAATGATAACTGACCCTCTGGCGGAAATCCCAATTCCTACCTCTGGCAGCAGGAGTACAGATTCCACGGAACCTTGTTTCGAAGCTACGAGGAGCTTGTTCAAGATAACCCAATGCTGTCACCAATTGTGCTGAGAGAGAGATCACCTATTATAACCTTCCCCAAGGATATCGCGAACAAATCCAACTGCACAAGATCAGCTCATCATGGACTCGGAAGGTGCCCCAGAATCTCAACAGGAGAGCTTGATTTCTGGAATAGGTAACCTGTCCATAAAGACAGCCGCAGGCCATTCTGAAGTCACGCATCAGGCAAATGGCGTGGCTCATTCGTTGCCTGACTTAGAGGAGTCGGCTGCTCCCTACAAAGTCATCTTGCAGACCGGCGACGTGATCGTTGAATACTTCGATCCTGAATCTGATATTGCAACACAATCGGAGGCGCGCCATCGTCGGTGGCGAGTCTCCAGCGATGATTTGACACAAAATAGTCCGTATTTTCGGGCCCTTCTTGACCCGCATAAATTCTCCGAGGGTCGTCAACTCATGCAGCAGAAGATGATGCATCAGAAGCTTCTGACTGACGAAACGGTGAACGCTGCGTCATCCAACATCCCGAATGCAGAAGTGAGGTATCTGCCCGTTGTGATTCTCCCGAGCAAACATGTCGCATCGAGGCTTGGGTTGGATGCCATCAAACTTTTTCTGGAGATCCTGTCCTTCAACTCCTTTGAAGAGGAACAGCAGTGTTCATTTGATGCGGAACTGAAGTTTTCGCCTGTGTCTCTGATTGCAAGACTACTGGAGCTAGCGGACGCCTTCAACTCTCCGCATGTCGTCCGGGAATCTCTCAAGAGAGCCGGTTACGCTTATGGGAAAGGGAAATATCAACCCTCCAAATTTGATTCTTCTTTACTGAAGCTGAGTGAGGATCGCATCCGGCAAACCATCTTCGTAGCGCGGATACTGGACGAGCCAGTCATATACAAAGTGATGACCCATGCCCTACTGGTTCTTGGCTCGAAAACTTGGGCAAACGGTGTCGAGCCTCCGGTTACTCCTACCCACCCCTGGCGCTTTCTGCCTAACGGTATAGAAGGTATCCTCATCAAACCCGTCACGCCTTTTCCACTCCATTATCAAGCACACTAACCATACTGCAGAGGAGCTCTACTTCCGCCGACAATGTGTTCTGAACACTATTACCGACCTCCAAGCCTACTTCCTCCGGGTCTACGGCGCTTTAGAAGACCCCGAGCCCCCCAAACCTTTTGTCCCACGACAACCACTTGCACCAGCGATCAACCAAGCGCGTCCCTTCCAATGCCGCTACGGCTTTGGCAACTCCAGTGCCTGCGACGCCTTCCACCTAGGACAGATGACCCGATTCTTCTCTCTTCGCACGAAGACCATCTTTCTCGGCTCGACCTTAATTGATCCTGATTTCACCCTCGACTCAGACACTGACTCTACACCTGAACAACCACCGGCGCCTCCATCAGATATAACAGCCATCATAGCTTCCCTCAAACAATGTCCCGACTACCAAATAGACCCAAACCACGTCGGCTGCGGCATTCGCCGCCGCTTCCTCCCCCCACTGGATTGCATAGAACGCTTCGTCGGAGACGGACGAGGCCTCCTCGGAATCGACTTCCACTCATGGACCGGCCAGGAATGGCCCTTTGCAACCTCGTCCTCATGGGCTAACCGTACCCTTCCTCGCGCAAACGTCATCGATATCCGTATCTCTAAATTGAGCGCTGTACATGGAGGAAGCGGTGCTCGACTCTCATTTACCTCTCAAGAAGAGAACGCCAGGTTACTATTCACCGCGAAAAAGAGGAACTGGGAGGCTTAGCCCAGCCTCATTCTAGGCTGAAGGTTAGCTTTGAGTCTAGCCTAGAGCTCTTGGCTTCCAACTTGCGCGGCATTCAATTTTCTACGTTCTGAGAGGGTTGGTTATGTGTTCTCGCACGGGATACAGATATGAACCTTGTGCTTGTTTTGATATGTTGATATTTACCACCCGTAATGGGAAACTTTGTGTATATAACTCAAGTGATTTGGATAGAGAACAATTACTACCCACGTGAAACGAACAAGGTACTACTCTTTGCGACATACATCATAGTGTTTGTCAACCAGTCCGATAAAGAAATTGGAGGATATATGAACACCACGAAGGCATCTTTGTGACTTTGGGTGCACAGCACACATACGCACCCATGGTCAGAACACAGTAGAATGACTGTACTCGTGATTACTGCTATTGTATCCAGAAAGTATTATCTATGAGGAGACATTCATTCATTATCGGAGTCATGTCTCACTTCTATATCCTTTGAAACCCTACTATAACTTCACATGACTCTGTTTCGGACTATGTTTACCAAGGCATGTAGCGACCGCTCTGAAATGCTAGATACGGACCAGCATGGATAACGATGTAAGGCGCAATCTTATAGTGAATACATATAAGAAGGCAGAAGAGAAAAAGGAGGCTTATATTGGAGAATAAAACAAATAAAAGAACCGTGGTCAAAAAGCATAAGACACAACTCGCAGAAACCCAAGCGGGCAGTCCGAACGTCATTAGTACTCTATACACCCAAGCAACGGAGACAATGAGAAACAAAAGAATCTACTCGATGACATATCCCTCCGCGACGCTCTTCACATCCTTGGAGTAGCCGGTGCTCTCGCCCTCCATCTCCAGAAGAGTGATGTCGTTTACGTCGACCTCGACGAAGGGGTTAGCCTTCGAGAAATGCACGTTCATGGGGAAGAACTCGTTCTCATCTCCGTCGCCTGTGGACTCGAACTCGAAGCTGCCAGATGCGTTGCTCTCATCCACGGTTCCGATGTTCCAATCCAGGCTGTCTCCGGATACTTCGTAGACGGCGTCGAAGCTGGACACTGCCGGTTCTGTGGCGCCGTAGGGGATGGTGACGACGACGTCGCGCAGAGTGTCGGATCCAGTCAGCTCGTACTCGATGGTAACGGTGGTCGAGTCGGAGCCCTTGTTCACCCAGACGGTGAACGTGATGGGGAGGATATCGGCGTTGTCCGATCCAGAGCTTGCGACACGCCAGCGCAGCACACCAATGGAGTTGTTAGCCGGGAACCTCTTGGATGTATCCTTCAATTGGATTGCGGAAGAGTTTGTGAAGACGGCTTTGTCGACATTAGGGTGGGTGCGGAATTGTGCACCATGCGTGGGGTTAGCGTGGAGGTCGAGCTTGAGTTTGGTGAAAGCTGGGTCGGAGATTCGGAGTTGCAGATCACCCTTCACCTCGAAGGATTTCAGTGCACCCTCACGTGTAAGAGTAGCAGAGATTGTCTCTGCGATTGTGATGTGGACAGGATCCCGGTCCGTTGACAGCGAGGCACGGGCGGAGGACACCTTTTCGGCGATCGGCGTCGAGGCTTGTGGTGTCACCAAGGGGCTGGACTCTTCAACTTCAGGACCAAGGTCGCCGCGCACTTTCTCGTATATGTCGGTGGTTTTGGACTTCTTGCCAAGTTGCATGCCCTTGCCGCGGGTGGGTAACGGCCTAGAGTGGGGGAGTGTTAGGGACAGGGAGTAGAGTTATAGATGAATGCACGCACTTAGCGAAAGTCTTCTTCTTCTCCGCCTCGTAGGTGTCGTAGGTATCGGGAACAGCTGGCCGGGAGGGGGGAGTATAGACGGGGTAGGAGGGCGCCCGGGGAGCCATAGAGCGGCCAGATTTGGCGGCCTCTTTCCGTTGCATCTCCAGCTGCTTGGCCTTCCTTTTGCGCTCCTCGCTGGCCTCGAGTTCTTTGTTCTATACCCAGCAATGTCAGCCATCCATTGACAGTATACCCAGGTGAGGGTATACATACTCTTTCAATAATCTCCTGAATTCTCTCCTCGTGACTCTCCATTTCCAGGAAGGTCTTGATCTGAGTAAGGGACAGATTCTCCCTGTACCCCAGAGTCACCAATTCATCGTAGGCACTAAGCAATTCGAAAGCATTGCGCAGAATCTCCCTCTCATCCAAGCTCTTACAGATGCTGGTGGTGACTTGGGCGAAAAGGTGGAGACTGTCGATGTCCTGCAAGATGTTCGACTGGCGGTTTGTGATCAGGACGATGTATAGCTCGTCCAGAGGCTGGTATACGAAGCGGACATTGTCCTGCTCCACGGTCGTATGCTGAGTACCGGAGTCGGCCAGTTTGGGGAAGGAAGCGAGCAAGGCCTCGATTCTTGAGCGAGCAATCTCACGGAATTGGCGCGAAAGTACGGCCTTGCCCCCGCGGGTGCATATGGAGGCTGCGAGGACGACCTGTTGTTTGTGCGCGATTGTTAGCAGAGCTCTAGGATACAGTCGAATACCCGGAATCGAACCATGGCTGTGTGGATGAAGGTCAGATGTCTAGTAAGAAGTGATAACTTTTCGTCCAGATGACAGCAATCTCCCGACGGACGAATGTCTGGTAGGCGTGTCTTGACGTCGAAGCCACGGGGAGTCGCTTGCTGTTCTCTTCGTCCCCGTTGGCCCGTGCGCCGCGCTACCCCCTCGCTTACCGCAGCACAAGAAGCTTCACTTTGCCTCGACCTCTCCATTTGCACCTTACAAGTCAACCTTTTCCCTTCACCTTTCCCCACAACTTATTCAGGGACCAAACTGTCGTCACCGCAGACGCAGTTGCACTTTTCACCGTCCTCGGGTGAATCCATCCCTAGTGTTAAAGGCAGCTCACAAAATCTGTTGTTGGGTTGCTTTCAGGCACACCCCGAGATCGCCACGCGGAAACTTTTGACGCGTCTCTGTCCTTCTGTTGTAACACCGATCGTATATCGATGACATGATAACCGCTTCTTCGCTTGCACCTACCAACATGGAGATCTCTGTGGCCGACGATAAGATGGAGATGGCTTCCCCCTATCAAGGGCATGTGGATGACTTCGATATTGATATCGATATCATGGAAGACCAGGCCTCCGTTACCGACAAAGATATGATGGTAGCGGACGAATATTTCGAATACGATCACGAAGGTGCTCCCGATGAGGATATGGTCGATGATGTTGCCGAGCCGACTATGGTTGATGCCGATGAACCTTATACCGGAGCCGACTACACCGTGGAAATGCAGGACGAGAATGAACGTATTTATGAAGCAGAAATGCTAGAAGACGACTACGAAGAAGTCAACGATACCCCTGTTGCTGAAGCTCAAGACGAAATGCCGACATCATCCGAAGCTCAGAACCAAGCGGTGGAAGGAGCGCAAGTGCCAGAAGAGAGTGCTGCGATGCCCGTTGATAAGAACAAAGCTGAGCAAAAACTCCAAGAGGAGCCCCGGACGGAACAACAAAGTCATGCAGATGCACATAATGACCACCCCCAAGATGTTGAACAACCTATCGACCAACCAGAAGAGCATGTCCCACAGCAGCCCGAAATAGACACAGCCGAGTCGACCGAAATCAAAAAGCCCCTCGATGGTACCAAAACGGTGGAGCAACAGTCTCATCTTGTCGCGGAACAAGACGATCGGGAAGAGACCGCTAATAACGCCGACCAGCCTCGGGTCCTTGAGAGCGGTCCCAGCGACGTTGAACCTCCAGCTGATGCGTACAAGGATCCAGCTGAAAAGCTAGAGGGTACAGTAGAAGAAGAGCATGGGGGACCAGGTCAAGAAGGAGAAGGAGAGGAGGGGAAAGTAGAGGCAGAGGCACAGGGGGGTGAAGCAGGACATAATGAAGAGGAAACTAAGGTCACAGAAACTCAGGATCGTTCTGCAGAGGCGCAAGATGTCGAGAACCTAGTCGAGCGAGAAGCTCCGGTGACGGAACGCACGCCTCTGTATCCGGTAAAAGTCTATTACCAAGACAACGAGATCTCACTGTTCCCTCCTCGGGAAGGCGACTCATCGGAGACGTTCTTTCTCGAGGATGAGAGCTTGGCTTTTGGGTCTTTCGGCAAACTCCTCGGTTCGTGCCGTGAGGTATTACATGAACATATCGGAGATAATGAGGTTCTTGTTGTAGATGTCGAGGCCCTAAATATTCAACTAACCGAGGTTTGTCACTTGTGGATTCCTACTATTCGGCATATACTAATCATTACTATAGGACTCATTTCACATTGACAAGGTCACACTACATCAGATTGTAGATTTGTACCTCCGTCTTTGCCACAATGACGGGGTGGAAGAGCCGGAAGCGCTCTATCTTAGCCTGAGCACAAGGCCCACAGTTGCTGCAGAGCTATCCTCTCTCTCTATAGCTGCAAACGAAGGGAAAGGACTGTCTGAAGTTTACTGGGATGGTTACGGCGAAGCAGAGGCAGCCTCCGCGGAAGTTTACGAGGAGAACCAAGAAGTTGATATTCCGGACGATCTTCAGCAGGAATCTTCTGAAGCAGAGGATGCTCACAGTGATTTCGAAGACAACTACGAGCCGGATGTCGATTCGACGCTCCAGACAAGCGCTGCTGAACAACAGCAAGAAGGGCATGGCGACCAAGCCCATGAGGATCATGATCAAGCAGCTTCAGACAACGATGATGCAGTTGGCCCCGCTTCAAGTGACGTTCGGGAAGGCGATTATGACCAGGACAGAAGCCGTCATGAGGCTCATCAGGCCGAACCCGAGTCTGTGGAGTCTGTTGACCATCACGAGCTGAACGAGTCGTATGAATCAGAAGAGCAGTCAGAGTCCACTGCTACGGTGACTCAACAGCCCCTGCCTGACTCAGCAGACGATCTGGCCGATCATGATGGTGATCATGACGAGCATGAGACCGAGCATTATGGCACGGGAGTTGCTGATGAAGAAGCCTACCCGGAAGAGGAAACTAATGTAGATGCTACTGAACACTACGACTATCAAGAAGATGCCGAAGCAGTCGAAGCTGCCGATATCCCCGGAGAAGCAGATGAGGAATTCGATGGCGATGCGACGGCACCGGATGTGCAAGCACCAGACGATTTCCAGGATATTCACGACAGCGATGAAGTCCAGGATGGCACGGTCGACGCTGACTTCCATGGCCTTGAGACCGATGACGGAGAGGTCCACCGTAGCGGTCCAGGCGAAGAGGCATCGAATCAGACTGAAACGGTTCCGGATAGTGTCTCCCAGGAAGCCGCAGAGATCACCAACAAATCTGCCGAGGATTTGGAGGATGACTCACTAGGTACTGCGGAAGATCTGCTAAAGAGCCCCAGAAAAGAAGACAATCGACCTGCCGCCGAGGACACTAATGCGGATGAACTCGAAGAGCCGGGAGAAATCCACGATGAATCCGAAGAAGCACCCGCCACACACGATGACGCCGAAGAGTTGACATTCGACGATGAAGACTACTTGGATCTGGGAGTCCAGGATGAACTGGCTGCCGGCGATGAGGCCGATCTTGCCAAGTCACCAAGTCGCGGTCCAACGAAACGTCATCGCGAAGCAGAGGATGAGTTTGAGTTCACTGAAACCCCTTCTCCGGATGCAAAACGTTCTCGGTCGTCCTAAATTTCTCTTTCCTACCCACACCATTTATTCACCTTGCCCTTTTGCACACAAACAACTCCTCCTTCCCTGGGATTCGAGCTTTGCTTAGGCTCTATCTAACGATTCCAGCATATTGGGTCCGGGCTGGTCTGATATGACGTTCACGATCATTGGGCAGCCCTGATATGTGACGAGTCACTAATGATGTTTCCGAAAGATGGCATCGGTCAATGAAGCGCGGAGACTTTGCAGCCATGCAATCCAGATAAGGTACGTGATACTTCGATAACTCCCCCCTCCTCATGTTTCCTCCCACCGGACTGGTATGGCCGGGGCGATGTTTCAGCATCACCCTGGGCACTCCATATACGGGGTGTAAAACTTAGGTTTGTACTTGATACCTCCCACTATTCCGAGTATTATTCTTGCCCTTGTGTTTTTTTATTCCTCTTTGGTCAGTGATACCACCTATGATGAAGGTCTTTTGTGGCGTCTGGGAGTGGATACGCATCTCTACTGTACTCGATGCAAGGCGTTGTTATCATGTTGAATCCAGGTAGCTTCCGCGCTGGCGGGATAGCGATAGTTGAATTTCTTTGCGTCTAATCTCCGTGGGAGTTACAAAATGACAGAATTTCTTTACTTTGATCTGAGTTGCGATTTTTATCCGAATGTAATAGATACACAGAAGCTTCCTTAATGAAAAGAAAAATGTCCCAAAGCCGAGATATAGCCTGCCAGATAGGGAAGGAAGACGCTGGAACGTGCTCTTGTTGATGACCGTGCTACTGGGTAGACGATCAACATTATCTAGTAAAGCAGAGCACTGATGCAGGTGAGATTGGACAGGTCTAATATCCCGATAAGATGGGAAGAATATAAGCTACTTCTACTGAGTTACTAGTAGTTAATGAGTGGATTGGTGTGATGAGTTCAATCACAGGCCATGCCAAGACGGTAGACACACGATGCTCAGACGGTCGGTAAACACCGCAGGGATTGAAGCTAATCCCAGGCAGGAGATGAAATTGAACCCCGGAACCAGAATTGAGGCGAGGGTTTCCTATTCTTAGTCGGCCACCTTACGTTTCAAAACGCCGATCGGATACTGAAACCAGGCTCCTCAAGGGGGGCCGGGCTGTGGCTGGCACGCCTTGATTGGGTCATTGGAATGGCCACCGTTGCCCTTCTTTTCAGGCTTCATTACACTGTACCAGAACTTGAACTTTTAAAAGGCATAACTACGAGTGAGTTAGTAGTAACTAAACGACTGGTGGTTATCTAATCCTCCAGTTATACGTACGGTATGTGTAATGCACCCGCTTTTCCATGTGAAGAAAAGAGCTCTAGTCTAGGAGGGTAGAGTGGTGATAATACTGAGGAGAACAGAGACTCAATTACTCAATTGCATCAGCATATGGTATCAGCAGCTCTCAGGGATCAACTAAACTACTACTACCCTAGTTGTTGAGACAGGAGTTCTCCAAGTGGTGCTTACCTATATTTAGAGGGAATCTAGTACTACTTAGTTAGCAGCAGCAGCAGCAGTAGTAGTAGTAGTAGGGATCATTCCTGGCTTGTACAGAAAATAAAGTACTGCCTAGGTATGGTAAGTTTTAATTAAACGCTGGTAACGCTGGAAACATTGCTTGGTTGCTTCAGCCGAGGACAACTTGGCTGGTGGGTGTCGGTCACGCTGTTCGCCAAAAAGGAAGATTAACTGGTGTGTCTGTCCTCTTTGGAACAACGGCGACCGCCTCTTTGTCTTCTTTTCCCTTTTGTCTACTCTCAGCTTATGCTTTTCCGCATAACTCCTGCTGTTCAAGTTCACCCAGAATCTCGCCCTTCTATCAGCCAAATCTCGCCCCCAGCCCGTAATATCTTGGGGGTTTGCCTCCCTCACTCGCTTCAACCACTTACGCGCGTCCAGATCCGGGCCGGTTCCGTCTGAAGGGGAAAAACCCCACCGCACGAGCGCAGGCAGCCAGCCTCTAGGATCAGACAAGGTCAACTAACAAGCTCTCCTTCGATCGCAGGAGTTCTCGACCCCCCCCCCAAACTTAACTGCCGCATCAAGGCTGCAGCATCTGTCCCTGTCCGGCTTACTCGCTCCTTTCTGCCACCCAAACAATTTTTTTTATTTTTCTTACTCTTGCCATTTATTGTTGTTGTTGTCGTTGTTACTGTTCCTCCTCCAGTCTTTACCTAGGCGCTGTCGCTATTGTCTTTGGACTGCCGGTCATTGTTGGCGCGCGCTGCCGAATGCTTGGCTCCAGGCAGTTAAGTCAACTCAGTCATCAACCACGCCAACCAACCCGTCCATTCTAGCCTTCCCATCGCGCTTCCCTTCAGCTCCGGCTCGGACTACACCTGTCCCAACACTCGTTAACATTGAAGTCGCTCAATTGCAAGGAGCATTCCGCTCCAAGAGTTTCTCACGATGATTTCCGAAAAGTATGATGCGATTTGTCTCCAATCTCTTGGCCCGTGGGGACCATCGTCGGATTCGCAATGTACTGACCGTGGCGTAGGTATATCGGCCTCATTCTGGCCATTACATCCACAATGGCGATCGGTATGAGTCTTTCATATTGGATTCACTCTGTGCAAGAGCTGACAAGTACTAGGTACAAGTTTCGTCATTACGAAAAAGGTTCGTTCGTGTCCAATCGCCGCCGATGACCTGCCGCGCGGAATCGCCTCTCGTCAATTTTATCGATCCTTGTCTCGAATAAACGACTGATATTTATCATATAGGGCTTGATGCAAGCATCCGAGAGGCATGGCTTTGAAGGAGAAGGTTTCTCATACCTCAAGAGTCCCATATGGTGGGGAGGAGTGGTTACATGTACGACAGGCCCTGTTCTTTCGATTGTCGCTCGAACGAGCGGAGCTGACTGGTGGTGATATAGTGGCCGTTGGAGAAGTCGCCAATTTCGCAGCCTACGCCTTCGCCCCTGCTATCCTCGTCACGCCCTTGGGTGCGCTAAGTGTCCTGATCGGGTGAGGCTCCCCTTCACAGACCGAAGTTACTATACAATGGGCTAACAGGCCATAGTGCTGTTCTCGGATCATATTTCCTCAAGGAAAGACTGGGTACACTTGGAAAACTAGGATGTGCGATGTGCCTCCTTGGCTCCGTCGTCATCGTCCTTCATGCGCCCCCAGACAAGCCGGTGGAGAGAATTGATGAGATCCTGGGCTACGCGCTGCAACCAGGTATGGACCGACAAATCAATCTCATATTCCGGTTGTTAGCTGACACATCTCGTTTATAGGATTCTTGATTTACTGTCTCGCTGTTGCCATCTTCTCTACCGTCATGATTTACCGCGTCGCTCCCGTCTACGGCAGAAAGAATCCTCTGATTTACATCTCCATCTGCTCCACAGTCGGCTCCGTCTCAGTCATGTCAATCAAGGCATTCGGTATTGCGGTGAAGCTCACGTTGGGAGGCAACAATCAGTTCACGCAGGCTTCAACCTACGTTTTCATGATCGTCACGGGTTTCTGCATTTTGACGCAGATGAACTACATCAACAAGGCGCTGAACCAATTTTCTACTTCAATGTAGGTGCATGTCGAGCTTGCAAGCCGTGTGCGATTGCTAACGATGTCTGACAGCGTCAACCCCCTCTACTATGTCACCTTTACGACTGCGACCCTGTGCGCCTCATTTATCCTTTTCAAGGGATTCAACACCACCGACGCTGTCAACACCATCTCCTTGCTCTGTGGATTTTTGATCATCTTCTCCGGTGTATATCTTCTGAATCTTTCCCGACACGACCCAGATGGACGACAGATGCTCAACGCGAAACTTGACGATGAAGGAATCCCAACGGACGGAATCGCCGGATTCCAGACTCGGAGGTCCATGCAATCCCGCCGCAGCAACGAGCCTCATCGCCGGAGCTCTTCGGGGGCTTACATGAACGGGCACGGAGACCGTGAAGGGCTTATGCGTGCCTATGATGTCGAGAACCAGGCATTCGGGCTGTCCGACCTAGCCGGGGACAGCGACGGAGAGCCAGGTCCTACCTACAAGCGAAGCGAAGAAGTAGATCATTCTTCTCATCAGCCCAACAAGCAATCCGCACTATAGAATGATGCGACGCCTGACTGGTTTTTTTCATTTGCCTGCCGGCTACATTTACGACCCAGAATATTGCTGTGACGTTTTCCTTTTATATGCTGTGCTTCTCAACTTGCTTTTCTCCTTTCTCCACCCACTTTGTTCCTCCTCTCACCCCCCTCGATGACCTCTATCTATCACCCCGTGGTTTGTGTTGATGGCTGCTTATTGGATGCATTGTACTTTTACTTCCCTCAGCAAGCGCGAGGAAATACCAGGACGAGGAACAAGAGATGCCCATGAATGATTTGGATGTGCATTGGGATTGTTTGTTTGAGTTTGTTTTCTTTTTCCCTTTTACTATTGCTGGTTATCCTCTCTTCTGGCATAGATCGCGGGCGAATCGACTGCGATAGATCCGAACTGTATATAGGCCCTAGGATAAACTTGGCAAGATAGATCTTTGTGTATTGACGCGCGTGGACCTGGCTGTGAGGCTGTTACTCCAGTGGGATTCTTTTGACTTGACTAGGTACACAGTAGATGTCTACTTATCTTCTATAAAAAAGTAACTAATTGACCACTTAGTGGCTGGGGCGCAGGTGACGTAAAGGGAGGATGGGAGAAGCCCCTCGAGATCGGGCAGATTCTTGGTTTGTGGTTGGGTTTGGCCGCCCAGTGGGGTTGGCGGTTGAAGATCGATGATGTCGGCTTCTCTCTGCCTTGTTGTCCTGACAGGCGTTGGGATTAGTCTTAAAACTAGTGCATCTACCGACCTTCGTTTGCCGGATGGCCTGTTCTACAAATTCCCCACTGCGGACGCCATAATTTTGAAGATATATGCCGAGTTATGGTGTGGATGGACAGGCTAGAAGAGATGTTCGGCTCTGCAGCAGCTTAGGCACCGCATCGTCCACTGCTGCTTCGCTTGCCTCGGAGCTCTTTGCGCTTCCCCACTGACCGCGACCGTCGCAACCCCGCGAAAGCTCAAGCGACATGCCGGGCTTGCTGCGAAAGCTAGTCATCGTCGCCGCTGTCGATGGCTTGATTCTTCAATCTTCCGGCAATGGATTGAGACATTCTGGGAATAATGAGCCCAGCTCTCTCCGCATCGACTACAAGACCAACAAGGTCTCCTCGCTCCCCGCGCCGGCCTCGGACCTGGACGAGGACAGAGACTCTGGCTTAGAGGCTTATGGCCTGGTCGGTAAGCAGCCCGTTCCTTGTTTGGATATTAGTGTAGCTGTTCTCTGCGCCAGATATTCCATCTTGTGTTGGCTGTTTATATCCCATTTAGTTACAAAGATCCCCATAGCTAACGTCCAACGCGCTTCAAAGGGCTGCTATCCGTTGCGTCATATTCTTTCCTCATCTCTATCACTCAGCGGCAACAAGTGGCTCAGATACAGGGCAAGCCCATTTATGCTGTGACTAATGTCGCGGTAATCCCGACCTCGTCGCAAGCCGATGCGATTCGCGCGATCTCTCAGGCAAAGGAGAGCCTGTCTCACGGAGAAGGTGGGCCGGGAGAGACTGCCTCCGATGATAGTAGCACGATATCGGACACCGAGACTGAAGGCGGCGACACTGAAGTTGGCACGGTGCCAGCTTCCCCTGAGCAGGAAGTCACTCATTCCCGGGCTCGCAGTGTCGGCAGTATTGCTGAAGATGTGATTGGGAAGAGAGTGCGATTCGGACGTTTTGCTGCAAATTGGCTCTCAAGGAAAACTCTTGGTTTGCCCGGCCTGGGTACTGTAGGTCATAATACTGCAGAACCGCTCGTGGAAGATGACAAGGGGGAGCCTGAGACCATGTCCTCTGAGGTGAATGATGAACGTTCAAGCCCCGTTTCAGAGAGTCATGATGCAACGCCTAAAACACTTGGAGAGCCGTTTCCCTCCGATCCAACCGTGGAGTTGCTTCCGAAGTTGCTACGTTATACCAAGATGATCTTTTCTTCCCAGAATTTCTTCTTTGCATATGATTACGATCTCACCAGACAGTTCGGGACGCAGGAAGAGTCGTCTCTCAAAACTCATCTGCCGTCGCATAAGATCGTTGATGAACTGGTATTAGCCTTTCCTTTGTGACGGACAGTATGCACGTGCTAATCCATCATCTCCAGTACTTTTGGAACCGGCATCTGATGTCTCCCTTTATCGCAGTTGATGCCCACAACTATGTCCTTCCGTTGATGCAAGGTTTTGTTGGCCAGCGAGAGTTCACAGTTGAGGCTGCCGAGACTACGGCTGAGAATCAATCCTCAGACACGGAAAAGCCGGACGAGGAGCTCAAGGAAGGACGCATATTGGGTGAAAAACAAGAGGCAGAGGCTGTTCAAACCAGCGAGAAGAAGCGTGATTATCTACTCACCCTGATCTCGCGACGATCTGTTAAGCGCCCAGGTCTACGATACCTCCGTCGTGGTGTTGATGACTTTGGGAATACTGCCAACTTTGTGGAGACAGAGCAGATTCTCTCCGTCCCGAACTGGGATCCGTCCCATAATGCTTACTCGTACCTTCAAATACGTGGATCAATCCCACTGTACTTTTCGCAGTCACCATACGCTTTCAAGCCCGTCCCTGTGCTGCACCACTCTACCGAAACGAACCAGCTTGCCTTCGATAGACATTTTCGAAATCTCAGTCGAAGATACGGGAAGATCCAGGGAGTCTCCCTTATCGACAAGCAAGCCGGAGAGTTAAAGCTCGGAGAGCAATATGAGAAGTTTGCAAAGGCTTTGAATGAGTCAGGTGGTATAGATGGTGTGCCGCTTGCACTGGAGTGGTTTGACTTCCACCACGAGTGTCGCGGTATGAAATTCGAGAATGTGAGCCGCCTGGTGAAGCAATTGGAGGATACTTTGAGCGAATTTGGTGATACTGTTATCCGCAACGACACTGTCCTCCAGTCGCAAAAGGGTATTGTGCGCACGAATTGCATGGACTGTCTAGACCGCACTGGGGTCGCGCAATGCGCCTTTGGCCAATGGGCTCTAGAGCGTGAATTGAAGCGCGAGGGCATCAACATTGATCTTGGCCGTGATTCTTCTACTCGGTGGTTTAATACTCTATGGGCAGATAACGGGGATGCTATTTCAAAGCAATACTCCTCGACAGCTGCCCTGAAGGGCGACTACACAAGGACCCGGAAGCGGAATTATCGGGGAGCACTGAATGACTTTGGCCTGACACTCTCCCGTTATTACAATAACATTGTCAACGACTACTTCTCGCAGGCGTGCATTGACTATCTGCTGGGCAATGTCTCCACCCAGGCCTTCCAGGAATTCGCGGTAGAGATGCAGACTACGGACCCAGGAATCTCGGTTCAGAAGCTCAGGCAGAATGCGATCGACACCAGTTGCAAGATTGTTATTAGCGACCAGTCCGAAGAGTTCCTGGGCGGGTGGACAATGTTAACCCCCCGGCAGCCGAATACCTTGAGGACCATGCCATTCGAGGAGGCGGTGCTTCTACTCACAGACGCAGCTATCTACAGCTGTCGCTTCGACTGGAACGTCGACAAGGTGCTATCGTATGAACGCATTGACCTGCATTCCGTGACCCGGATCAACTATGGCACCTACATCACGTCAGTCTTGACCGAGGCCCAGGCCGACGAGCAGAACAACGTGGGGTTAGTGATTGAGTATCTTGCTGGCGATGAGAACGCGCTGCGGGTCAACACCCGCTCCCTCCAGAGCCAGGTTACCTCGCAAACCCTCGACAGCAATGCGCGCCCCAGCACCGAATGGAACATGTATGCGTGGTTCAAGGGGACCCCCCGCTCGACCACCCGACTCATCGCGTTCAAGGCGCTTCCGCAGAACTCGACGGGGGCGACAGTGAGACAGCCGGATTGGGTGCGCAGTATCTGCGAGGAGATCGAGCGGGCCATGAGAGCAGGCAAGACACGACATGATGATGACGACGGAACGCAGACTTCCATTATCGAGTCGTCAGACATTATATCGGTCGAAGAGGCAAAGAAGCGGACAGGATATTTGGAGCATTTGGTTTACGACATTAAGAAATTGGTGTGGGCGTAGACAGGGGGGTGGTAGAGGTTTCGGTCATTTCTTTCAATATATCAAGTGACTTTCTGCACAAGAGCATAGTAATAATGATGTCCATAACTTCCAGAAAGTAACCATCTATGGGTAATAAATGCATTCATTGTTGGAATACATACATACATCAGTACCAACAACTACCAACTACTTCATACTAGTCAACTTTCAGGGTTAAATAGATCACCGCTCCACTCTATGCACGCGATCAGGGCGGACGGAACTATTTTCTGAGATACGTACGTAAGTAAGCTAGCTCTGAAGGGATCCCTCGTGGGAGGTGTGCACGATGGGATCGGAGTTCTCTCTCTGACAGGTCATTTCTGGCATCATGAGCCGATCGGGTCTCATGATGCGTACTGCTGGAAGACTGGGGGGTGGGTGGGTGAGTGGGTGGGGGAATATGATAAGTTACCGATTTCGACGCTACTAGGATTCCGGGAGTGGTATCCATGCATGGAAAGTAGTAGGTAGGGGGGTAGGTATTCTTGGTGGTTCTGGGGAGATAGATTCGCCTTGGGGGAATAGATGCATGGTTGGTTCGGTATGGAGATAGGTTCTGACAGTCGGAGTAAACTGCAGAATTGTATCAAACATGAATACTGTTGTATTTCCTATAATTATTGGGGATAAAGGTGCGTATCTATCCAGTATGTCTGCTGCCCCTCGCTGGGCTGTGTCCAAAGGTAAAAGGTATGTATCAGAAGGTAACTGGGGGAAACAAAGTGTATCAGTCATAGTCGCCGGTTACCATACCGGGCAGTTGGTTGCCTTCCTCTGCCTGGCGGTGGCATGTTTAATACCGTTTCGCTGGTTACCGCGGCCACCAGACCTCTGAAAGATAGAGGGAGTCCCCCAGTGACGATACCAGTGATAAACATGAACATGTACATTCCTCTTCCATGGATGTATTCCTGCCCATCGCATCGTCCCAACTGGATGATCAGCTAGACTTCATCCCTCTGGCTGGGTACAGAGGCAGTGGACTAGAATACTAGGTGGCTTCATCTTTGCTTCAAACACATATAGCCTGAATCCTTTTTCCCTTCTTTATAACCAGCCAGCCAAAATTTTTCCTACGTAAGTAAGGTGCTTGGAAGTACTGCTACAACCCAAGGAAGTATCTCCGGGTGCACGGCCTCTTCCATGTAAAGAACCAGTGCCAGGAGGACCACTACTTAGTGCCACAACCACTCAGAACTTTGGTAGCATTTTGGTGGTGGTGGTTGCTAAGTAGGATTGTCTGTCTCCTTTGCCTCTCTGCTTCTGCTTCTGCCTCTGCCTCTCTCTCCCTCTCCCTCCCTCTCTCTCAGTCTTTCTCACTCACAGTCTCTCTCCGCCAGCCAGGGGAATTTTCTCTTGTCGTCACCGGACAGCCTTCTGGCTCCATTGCGACTACTTTGGTCCACTTGGGAATATTTTGTGCGCTTGAATTGCGCTTTTTCTACTGTGAACATCGGATTGTTCTTTTTTTTTTCTTTTTCCTTTTTTAAATTAGAATCCTTTGTTGATTCTATCAGATAATATCTTTTTTATAATTTATCTTATTTATTTTCCTTGTCTTCCAAATTTTTTTTTTCTCTCTTAGCCTTTCCGGGGAAGAAGGGGCTGGAGCCGCTTCCCACAAGTTCACGGCGGGGTTTCTTTGGGCTACACAACGTCCCCTTCCACTCTCGGTCTCTCCCTCTCTCTGCCTCTGTCTCTCTTCCTCTCCCTCGTCCTTCTACCCGCAATTGCTCCCCCCCTCCCTCTGCCTTCCACCTTTGCGACATCATGGAATGGCAACCGCAGGACGATCCATTGAGGCAGCTGGCTTGCTGCCTCAAGGATTCCCTTAATCCTTATGATCGCCCCCTCCAAAAACAGGCCGAACAGGTGTGTCCTTGCTGTCGCTTTTCTCCCCTCTCTTGCTCCGCTTCATTTCCCTACTTTGAGTTTTTTTTTATAATTCCCCTCCCCTCGACCACCTCAACAGAATAATGATTCTGGGAGCTTCGCGGTCGCTGCAAGAGCGCCTGCTCTACCCCCTCTTCTGTCTAGCTTTGTTCTAGGACCTATCTTTCGCTTCGAAATGTAAAAATTTGGCTGACCGAAGCTCTTCTCCGTCTTCTGTCGTCTGATAGATGCTAGTACAAGCAACCTCGTCGCCGGACTATGTCAACTACATCACCTACCTCTTCAGCACCCCGCAGGCTTCTCCGGTGCTGGGAATGGATAGCCAGACCTACGATATGGTCCGTTTCGCGGCTGCGATGAACCTGAAGACCAAAATTCACGTTGCCTACAACACGATCCCCCAACCCTGCTTGACCTATATCCGATCGGCCACCCTGCTCGGATTGCGCGACGAGAACCCGCACGTGCGGAAGTCGGCCGGAACAATCATCACAGAATTGGTGCAACAGGCGGGGCTATTAGCCTGGCCTGATGTGCTGCAGGAGCTGCTGACCCTCGTCGAAAATAGCTCCGGTGACATCCCGCCCATGGCGCAGGAGGCTGCCATGTCGGCTCTCTCCAAGGTGTGCGAAGATAATCGCAAGATCCTCGACCGTGACTACCAAGGACAATGCCCTCTCGACGTCATCATTCCCAAGTTGCTCGAATTTACCTCCAATCAGAGTTCCAAGGTCCGCTCAATGGCCCTCGGCACCATCCATGTCTTCCTCCCGCACAGACCCAAGGCCCTCATTGCTTCAATGGATCTGTTTTTGTCGCAATTGTTCCAGCTCGCCAATGATTCGAGTACCGATGTTCGTCGCACGGTTTGTCAGACTTTCGCGCAGCTCGTGGACTTCTCCCCCGAGAAGCTCATCCCCCACATGGAAGGATTGGTCAACTACATCATCATGCAACAGCACAACCAGGAGGATCCGGAGCTTGCGCTTGACGCCGCTGAGTTCTGGCTTGTCGCGGGCGAGCAGATCAAGCTCCAGCAGCCCTTGGCTCCCCATATGAGCAAGATCGTCCCGGTCTTGCTCCAGAGCATGGTTTATGACGAGGATGAAGCCATTCGGTTGACGGGTGAAGGAGATGATGCCGAGGATGAAGACCGCCAGGAAGACCTCAAGCCACAGTTCGCCAAGTCCAAGAGCGGCAAACTGGATATGTCCAAGTCTGGTCAAGCGAACGGAAACGCAGCTCCCGAGGAGGAAGACGATGACGATCTGAGTGAAGGCGAGATTGAGGATTCCGAATTTGGAGATGATCCCGAGGACGAATGGACGCTCAGAAAGTGCTCCGCCGCCGCGTTGGATGTCTTCTCGAACGTCTATCACGACCCGATCTTCGAGATCATCCTGCCCTACCTGAAGGAGACCCTCCGTCACGAGCAGTGGCCTCATCGCGAAGCTGCTGTCCTGACTCTTGGTGCTGTTGCAGATGGATGTATGGATGCTGTCACGCCTCATCTCCCCGAGCTCGTTCCTTATCTTATCTCCCTGCTCAACGACGCTCAACCTGTTGTGCGACAGATCACCTGCTGGTGCCTCGGTCGCTACTCCGAATGGGCGTCCCACTTGGGAGACCCGTCGGAGAGAGCGCGCTTCTTTGAGCCTATGATGGAGGGTATTCTGCGCAGGATGCTGGACGGCAACAAGAAGGTTCAAGAGGCGGCTGCCTCTGCTTTTGCAAGCTTGGAGGAGAAGTCGGACGCCAACTTGATCCCCTACTGCGAGCCCATCCTTCGACAGTTTGTGCAGTGCTTTGGAAGGTACAAGGACCGGAACATGTACATCTTGTATGACTGTGTTCAGACTTTGGCCGAGTGCGTCATGGGAGAGCTGGCGAAGCCTCAACTGGTTGATATCCTGATGCCTGCTCTCATTGATCGCTACAACAAGGTCTCGGATCAGTCTCGGGAGCTGTTCCCGCTCTTGGAGTGTCTCGGATATATTGCGGCAGCCTATGGCGACGCCTTTTCTCCCTTCGCCACTCCCCTCTTCCAGCGGTGCATCAAGATCATCTATGAGAACCTGCAGGAGTACATGGCGTCCGTCAACAACCAGGCCATTGATGAGCCTGACAAGGACTTCCTGGTGACGAGTCTGGACCTTCTGAGCGCGATCATCCAGGCGATCGATCCGCAGAAGAGCGGCGAGTTGGTCGCCAACTCCCAGCCCCGGTTCTTTGACCTGCTCTGCTTCTGTATGGAGGATCCGAACTATGAGGTCCGTCAGTCGTCGTATGCTCTGCTGGGTGACTGTGCGATCAACATCTTCCCTCAACTCGAATCTTTCATTCCTAACATTATGCCCACTTTGATCAAGCAACTGGATCTGGATCAGATCCGGGATGATGATCGTCACACTGGTTTCAGCGTTCTCAACAATGCCTGCTGGTCGTGCGGAGAGATCGCCGTTAACGAGAAAGCCGCGCTGTCTCCGTATATGGAGAAGCTGTACCAGGGGCTCTTCATCATCATTAACAACGAGGAGATCATCGACTCAGTGAACGAGAACGCCGCGATGGCCCTGGGCCGGCTTGGTATTTGCTGCTCTGATCAACTCGCAGCTCGTCTGAACGAATTCGCTGGAGTCTTCCTGAAGTCAATGAATAAGATCGAGTTCACCCGTGAGAAGGCATCCGCTTTCCTCGGATTCAACCAGGTGGTGATGAAGAACCCCGCAGCCATGGAGTCTTGCCTTGGGGACTACTTCCAGGCCATCGCTGCCTTCCCCACCAAATCGATGAACCAGGAGGACTACCGTGACATTCAGACCTCATTCCAGCAGGTTTGTAGCCTTTCCCCCCATATTATCCAATCTGTGTCACTGACTCGATGATGATGTAGGTGCTGCAGGGATATAAAAATATGATACCCAATTTCGATTCATTCCTGTCGCAACTTCCGGCCCATGTTGCTCAGAAGCTTCGTTCTGTATACCAGATTTAGATCTATATGTTTGTCATGTTAATGTTTCGTTTGAACGCAAAATTTCATGGCGAAAGGCGCATAAAAATGCATTTCCTTTTCCTTCTCCCACGCCGGCACCAGGCTCGGTGGTTGGCTTCTCCGGAATCATGGACCTTTCTCCGGGCGGAGGGAGTATGCACACCGTCTGATGATTAAGCCTTGATGTGGCGTGTTTGGAATCTGTTTCAATCGACTGTGCGTGGATCGCCGTGTCGGGGTCTGCATAGAGGGAGGGCTAATGGGCTGGCTGGACCGTGGGCAACCAAAATAAAAAAAGGGACAAACCGAAAGAGCAAAAAAAGCGGATGGACATGAAACCCTGGGATAGTATAGCTCGGGACTATATAACCAGGAAGAAGAAAAGGGCAAGAGGGGAAATGAACAATGAGACATGCCTATCGATCCTGTACCTTTTTTTATTCTTCATTTTTCTTTATGTTATTAGATAGACCAGTAGATTAGTATATTAGATAGCCTTTTGATGCACGCAGGGGATAGTCGGCCGACACGACACCCGCTGTGTGTTTCTCAACCGTTGGCGTTCTCTCTTTCCTTTTTTTACCCTGATGATGTGAAGTTTATTTTATCTGCAATTACGATGGAAGGGTGAGTGGGAGGGGGGGATATAGTCTATATATTCTATACGAATGATGTATATGAATTTAAGTTTGACATCATGATCGACAAACAGATGCGATTGACAAAGTGATGCATCAGCCAGCCAGCTAGCAAACTGCAAGTTCATTTCAGTTCTGGTCCGATCCACATGACAGTACTCATCAACAAAGAATAGTACTTAACTGAACCATGTCAGTACCATGAAGCACAAAATAGTATGTATGAAGTTATACATACACTATTCTTCATCCCAACAACCCTACCTATCCAATCCCCTTTAAATCACCTACATAGTACTAAATCACTAGCAATACTACTAGTGATAAATACTACGGAGTAGTCAATGCCTATCTCCGATCCTTCGGATCCGAACATCACCACCCTGGTCAATATTTATTTTCTTCCCTTTCCTTTTAATCCCTGCAAATCCCGGGCAAGCCAGCCAGGTAGGCATGCTAGCAGGGTACTTAGGGCACCCCTGGAGCCTTTAGCGTTGCAGCATACATAGCTACTAACTAATCACTACTAGTACCCCGGTCGGTTTGGGACAGGTCATTTCTAGCACAGCGCAGCACAGCGCAGCACACATATACACACTCTCTCACTTATGGGAAGTACAGGTAGGGAGGGTAGGGTCTGGGTAAGGCCTCCATCATCATCCATCATCATCATCATCATCGTCGTCATCAAGATAGTAATCATGAAGAAACGCATATCGGCATCTCCGATAGGATGGTTTGGTTCATGTCTATAGGATAGGATAGGATATGGTGGATGGATGTGTACGACATGACAGATATTTTAATCCTTGTTAATAGTTGGGGATGAGTATTGATTGATAATCCATTCTAAGCGATTACTTAGTCTGATTCTGGTGGGCTGTCTCTTAAGTACTAACTTACAGTAAGAAGTAAGCACTATGTATGGAGTAAGGAAGGAGGGTGGTAGGTGTGTTTGCTTACCTTGCTTGCCTTGCTTGCTCCATTTTGGGGGGATGATTCTTCTGTGGAAGGTTCCATGCAGGTGGTGAGCAGGGGATATTTCTTAGTTTTTCAAACTAGGCACTAGGTACTATAGTACTAGTGATTAGTAGTAGGGGGGGGTTGACATTAGATTGTTAGGCTAGAATAGGTGATTGAGGAGGATGGTTGGAGGATTTGTCACCGTTAAGTTAGTGAGGTAGGTAGTGAGATGGCATCATGGATGGCGGTATGGCGGCTTACTCTAGAATTGAATGATTGATTTGCCTCTCAACACAGTACTAATTATTTGTTGGAGTGGCATCAGCTACAGTCTACTACTTGTCTAGTATGGATTGATAAGACACAGGTAATCTATCATTCTCATCCATGTACGTACGTACGCCATCTTGGAGTTAGTAGGAGTCGTCAGAGTAATTGACTCAAGTATGACTCCTACCCAATCAGGGTATCTTCGGCGAAGGCGAAAATGTTTCGGCCGCTAAAAAACTACTTACTGCAGGTGGTGGTATTTTAGTTGAGCAGGTTTTTATCTTCTCTTTCGGAGATTGGCCATTTCGCCGAGACTCTATCTCTCTCACTGTTTACTGTGGTAGATATTGTGTACTCCGTACTTGGGTGGTCTGTCGGCTAATTCATCGTTGAATTGGATGGGGTTCCTAGACTTAGTCTTCAATTTAGTAAACCAAGTTCAATGAGGCTGTGTGGCCAACTTTTTGTTTTTGTTTTTGTTTTTGTTTCCCCCCCCCTGTGTACCCATTTCCGAGGCCGGCGCAGTGAAAATTACCTTCCATAGGCGCGCCCGACGGGCTGGATCCTGGGGCTGGAATTGATGGTGATACTGAGCGAGAGAATAAAATCATCACATCACTGGTGGATGATCGATCCTTCAGGCTGGCCACGAGGGAAACTGGACGAGTTATTGGGTTCTGACATGGTTGATCCTGGGCCGCGTGTGAAGTTGGGGGCTAGTTTTGAGTGTGGCAGTTATTTAGTAGCAGTTAGTTAGGTGGATAGGTTGGTCGCCTTGATTTCCTTTTTCTGCTCATTGCTGATGGATGATGGTGAGTGAACATCATCCCATCTTTTCTTTACTTTCTTTCTTTTTTAATCAGATGTGTATTATTCGATTTGTATTTTTTTTTTCTTAAAGTTGGCAGATCCCTATTCCGGGTTAGTGGGAAACACCTCTGGACTCCTCCCGCACTAACCAGATGCGGTTGTATCTGGCGAGATTGAAAACTGACTGAGAAGTGAGAAGAAAAAGAAGACGGCGGATCTGCCGAGCCCAGCGCCTGTCTGTGACTGGCCCACTTCTTCCCTGTTCTGGTCGCCATCCAAACTGATGCGGAGAATGGTTCTGCCTGCGTCATTGGCTGGTCGGGATCTGGGATCGGCTTGCTCCGACCGACAGTTGCCTGACTGGGTCTAACTGGCCGTGCTACCTGGGCTAGTCTTGAGTAACCTCGTTGACCCCGTGATCAAGGGTACTTTAGACTGATGGATCCAATCAATCAGTATCAAGCGACTACTCTTCGAGGTACTTACACAGTACACCGAGTACGGAGGAGGTATGGAGTATACTGTGTACTGACGGATGTTTACTCCTAGTTTGGTGCGGCAGTCGGTCGCGATCTATTATCTAATTCTATCTGTCCATCTCTATCTTGCTGGAGAGCTAGTTGAACTTGGGGAGCTGGGAACGTCGTCCCAACGAACCATGGACGCCTTCCTGAAGATCGCTTCAAATTTAATTCTGACGGCCGAGAAGGGTCCAGCTGCTCCTTCCCAGTCCGCTCTTGGTATTAATCTACGAGTAGTGTACTCACTAGCTAAGAAATAATCTACAAACAACAAACCTCATCCCCTTCGCTTCTCCCTCCGACAGGGATTGTACGTGCATCATCCCTACACTCCCCCCCCCCCTCCATCATCACATGGCATATGCTCGATTACTTCGGGATCTTGGGAACTCTGTCGCGATCTCCGGGACGAAAACGTGGCAATGAGGCTTTGTGCAACGATGCATGCAACCATCCAGCCCCCTTCCCTCACCCCCCTTCCCTCACCCCCCTTCCATTCTCATCCCTCCATGGCTGATGCAGGTCGAGCCCTTTTTCCGCTGTCAGGCGGGCTCTAGACTAGATTTTAGCTTAGTTGAGACCGACCCGAGAGAAGACCGACTATCAAGAGAAATTGACTGGTGGATTCTTTGCTGCTCCTCCCCCCAACAAGGTTTCGGCCTCAGACCTTTTCCCACTCCTTTTTTTTTTACAGTCTCAGCCTCCCCGTGACCGTGGACCCGGCCCGCAGCCCCGGATGGTTTGGCACCGTCAACCCTGGCTCTGCTTTTAGTCCTTTGGGTCATCTTCAGAGTTTCGATGGGTCCGGTGGATGACGGTGGTTGTGTGGTCGGACCAGATTGTTGGTCCCTCCCCACTAAACTGTGATTGTCCAAGCGTGGGCGAACTAAATAACGGAGTTCTTCTGGCCTCTGACCAGCTTTATCCATCAGCGCCCTCTCGAATCCTGGCTCCAATCAACACGCTAACAATGCTGGTCGTGGAGATTTCCCTTTAGCTTTATTCTAGTTTAACTTTACCCTTCAGACCGGTATCGCCGCCGTTCTTTGTTTTCTCTTTTCTGATCGTTGATTATTCTTCAAACGGAATTATTTTATTTATTTATTATTTTCCCAATTCTCTATCTTCTTTTTTATCTATTCCGCTCGACCGTTCCGTAACGGGCCAGATCACTTACTTACTACCACTAGACTAAATCACGACTAATCATCAATCGCTTGCAGTCCAGCCCTGCTAGAGTTTCCCGTCTGATGAAAGAAACGAAAAGAATAGAATGGCAAAAATCACCGAGAGTCTGGCTGGCCATGAGGTATGGCAGCTGACGCTGTTTCATCCGGTCGATTGGGAACCGACACTTGCAAAATCACATTGGCTTCCGTCCGTCGAGGCTGAAACCGTGTTACCTCCGTATCGTCTTATCCAGACTGTGCATGTGGACCAGGTCTGTCATACAGAAGACTTCGCCTGTGCATGGAGTGCGTTTAGAAGCAGACGATCTGTCCGCGTTACAGATATCTAACCCACTACGTACTAACATATCGGCTGAGGTAAGGCGCCATGCCACGTCCGTCCACTGCGCCTTCATCCTCGCGGTGGATCGCGCGTCTATCATAATCGACCGCCCGGTCTCTCCTGTAACTCCAGTCGCCCCACTTGATGCAATGGAAGGTCAGATTTTCTACGAAGAGAAGGCCTAAGCTACTAGGATCTTCTCGCGAGGCTCATCTTCCATGCCCCATGGAAGGTCCTGTCAGTCATTACGTGGGCAATCCCGGGTTGAAAATGCGCCTCGAACTGTCCATTACAACGTGTTATTTACACAGTATCTAGTAGAGGGAGAGGGCTGTTGCTTTACAGCCTCGATCCCAAACTTTAGTTCGGCCGGGACTAGACTAAACCTACCGAGCAGCGCCAGAACCCAAGACTAAGGATGATGGACGCCTTCCAGCAGGGCAAAGGTTGAGTCGGGGTCTTGGGGTCTTGGCCGGTGACTCGGGTTTGTCATCGCCTAAATGCCAACTGATGGGCCGAAGAAGGTATCTCTCTGCAGGTTTTCTGAAGGTTGTACTTATTGTCTACCCCCCCCTTGTCCCGCGGGTCGCATGCTGCATGGCTTGTCTGCACCGTTACACAGGGTCTTGCTCGGCAAAAGAGCAGGATGGCTGACTAGCAACCCCTGGGCACAGTCCCCTGCGCGGCCAATCACCGAAATGAACCCTGCAGATTGGAATTTCGTCTGCGCTTTGGTCGGCTGTCATGGCCAGATTCAGAGAGTCCTGCTGATGACGTCCTAAGTGTAAGTAAGTG